ACTTGCATCATAGTAACAGTGGGGTCAATTTTTGGAGGCAATGGAATATGTATTTGGTATTTATTTCTATCCACACCAACTCTCATCCCTTCTTCAATATCAGTTGGAGCTACTTGATCACCAAGATCAACAACAAATTTTGCAAACTGCTTCACATTGATGATGTATTTAGGGTCATCTGAATCTGCATTTATTATTTTTGTGCACCTTGCAACCTAGCAAAGGCAGAAAAGAATTCTGTGATATTTAAAGATAAAAAGCAATCCATATCCCCTTTCTGAGATTAAAAACAATGCTCTGATCATCAAAGAGACACATTTCCCTAACCCCTTACCTGGCAAAACCACTGTTTATGGTTTCTTTCCCTTTATCCTGAGCCTAAATTTACCAACCTTCTCCCCAAGCAATACTTCTCTAATGTGAAAGCTATTTCACACAAAAAATTGTATGTCAGTTCTCTATGTTTGATTTCAGTATAGAATTAATCAACATTATCTAAAGATAATTTTGATATCAAACATTATTCAAAGAACCCTGAAATGTGTTCAAGAACATTTGACAAAATAATATAAAAAATACAAAAGCCATATTTTCTTTGGTCAAAATTATCTCATATAATTTTCCAGTATACAAATAAAACACTATTATGCTAACATTATAAAAGAAGCGTGGTAAATATAGATTAAACTGAGGAAACCTGTAAGGGTTGATCTGAATGTAGAGTTTGTTTGTCAGCAGCCAAATCCCATAGAGCTGGGGCAGCCAAGCCAGTGTCGGATTCTCTTATACCTAAAGAGATCAGATCAAATATATATGAAGACTATGATTCAAAACAGATCTTTCCAATGCACATAAACATGTCATATACTGAAAGTGCTTTGATAAGAGTCTTATTAAATTATCACATTCACTCTTACTTGAATGTACAGTTAGTACGGTACAGTTACATCAAAGATAGTACAGTTAATGATAGTACAGTAACATCAAAGAGAGTAAACTCTGCAAAAGTAATGTATGTTAGGGTTTATCATTTATCAATTAACTCAAAAAACCCAGACACCTTTTAAAAAGTATGAATGTCAAACAATCTTTTTAACAAAAGCATTATCATTTTAGGTGGAAAATATTTAGACTTAAATAAACAAAAACTGTCGAATATTGTACACGATTTGCCAATCAAAAGATAACAACTCTATTACTTCAATTTGTAAACAAAATTTACTCAATACATATGTGGTATAAATTTGCTGCTATACAAACTTTTGTTGTTGTGGGATGATTATATGTAAAATATATATATGACATGTCAATACGATAATATCTTTAGTTGTTTCTTTTAATGTATGTCATATCAAGGTGGATTAAATTCACAAGATATAAATAAATTAAAATTTACAATGAACATTATATCTTTAAGAAGCAGATATATCTTTAATGATCTCAACAACAAATGGACTAAAAATGTATTACTTGTTACTTGTCTCAAGACCTGCAGAAAAATACAGAAAGTTTTAGATATAAAATTTCAATCATGACCTGTTAGTTCGTCAACCTTCTTGAAAATGGAGCTGATGTCATCCTCAACTTTTTTAATTGATTTGTTATATGAACCAGCTCCCTAGGAAATGAAAAAAATTGTTGGATGACCTTACATACATACATAGTATAGTGAAAACATACAAAACAATGAATGGAGACAAGAAGTGTTGTATCGCAAGGCTAAATGGAACCAATTTCAAAAAAACAAATTGAACTGCTTGCAAATAATGTGTTGTCTGATCTTTGTAAACAATTATATAACTAAAATCGCTTTGGGAAACTCTCAGAAGGGATAATTGATGAAAACCCAAATAATTTAACTTTCAGGCATTTTGACCAAGATAATGAGTCCTAAGAGTGACAACTAAATGTTGGTCACTGTTTGTAAACATACACACGCATATGTTTACATTTAATTTATTTAAATATATATATATAAAGTGAACTTAAATACCAAATTTTATTTATCATTTCATTTGCCTGGAAAAAAATAAAATCAAAAAAATACTCATAAAAGTATAGAAATGTTGTTCTTTATGCTTAAAATGTGTTCTGTAGCAGGTAATGACAGAAAGGAAAGGTTTATAGAAGGTAGAAGGAAAGCTCTTTCCATTTTATATGCTGGATTTTGGTTAAATAAAATAAGCGACCCAAGTGAAAACAGCAAAAGTGGTAGAAAAAGTCAGTGTCTATCTATCTGTAAAAATTAGGTACAAAATTTAAAAAATAGCATCAGATCTTTTATTTACATATATATGTAAATAAATAAACCATCTGAAGCAGGGGAGTCAAATTTTTCTGGCATTAGTTCTTTGAAATTTTGAACAGCTCAAAAACAATCCAAATAGGAGCATTTTTTCACATAATGATGTTGGGGGATTTTGCTTCCGCAGGATTGATGTTTGTCCTGTAGTGAAGAGAAAACATCCCCAAATTTTGTTTTTAATTTTGTTTACAATCAAAACAAATTGTTAAAGCAAACCATAGCTATTGATAATAGAACATGAATCTAGTGAATTTCCTCTTCCCTACCTAACAACTGGATAACAAATATTCTGCTATACATGAACGCTCTGTTCATTTTTAAGAAAAAGGTGTCTTGTTAATACACCTCCTTTGTTTCCTGTCTGTCTAACTGCCTCCACTTACAGAGTCATTGGTCTAATAGCGGGCTTAGGGGAAGGCACCGGTTGACATAGAAAACACAGACGGCGCACAGCCCTTGCTGTACACCACCTCAAGGGCCAGTATGAGAATCGTTATTCTAATGGCCAGAGAGCACGGTAAAGAGCTTGCAGCCACAGCTAAAATCATTGCTGGTAGCCTAGAGCCCTCTTGTTATTGCCACTAACTTGTCAGGGTATCAGGATCGCAAAATCGAAAAGCCGATACTAGAAAAATTTGATGAAAAGTACTTCGCCCCTACCAAAACACAACATTTAGACCTGTTGACATATACTTATCACCATCCCTTTTTTACCTTTTTAAAACCTAATCTGGAAAAATGCTTCTTTGGGAAACTATGTTTTACCTCAAAAATATTAAATAATCTAAGTGAAAAAATTCACCCGATAAGTCACGCATAAAGCGACATGTCCATGAAAAGTTGATACTCCTCTACATCTCTACAAATCCATGGAAAATTCTTGTATGCATTGTCACACAATATGCATTTTGCGATAACTTTTGGACATGGTCTACTATCTGTTTTAGGCTATGTCGCTGTTTGTGAGGTAACCCTCTTTGATTTGAAAAAATGGAGAAAATACTTTAAAGATACCAACAGTACTCAATTTCTAAACCTGATTAAAACACTGTTTGCAATGCAAGCACATGAAAGTTTAGCAAAATGTTAAGAGACCACGGTTTGATTGGCCACAGTATGAGAAATCAAAAGCTTATACCATGGCAGACAAGTCCCTTTGTTTTATGTTAGGATAACAATAGGCCCCGACATAGAGCAGGGCCACTTAGACAAAAGTTTAATGACATCATGGTGTGAGAAATGAGAAACTAAGACCGTGGCCATAACTGCCCTTGAGATTCAATTGCTATCAACAGTACTATAGAATATGATTCATTAACGGATTAGAAGGCAATTAACAGTCTTTTGTCGGAACAAGTCAAACACAAAGTTCTGTTGATTTTTACATGGAGTTACCATTGACAAAGTAATGAGCCTCTGCTACTGTGTCAATGCAGTACAAAATGGCTGGAAGGGATATCCCTCCAAGAGCCTATCAATTTTAAGGTTTTTTCTAGGACAACCTTTGGAAACAAGATGGTATGAGGCTCATACAGTTTATACCACTGCGCGCCTCCCCTGAACTGAAGTTAATTAAATTTTTGGAAAAATTGCTATTTAATACATATTCCTAAATACTTTGAAAAAAACTTACATATGTCTTTAGAACTGCAATGTCACCTTCATCCAGAGCTACAAAGCAAAATATTTGACAGTCACTTAGGATAGCACTTCAAAACGAAAATTAACAAGCTTGATCTTTTCTGCCTCTTTTCTTAACCCCTCCCTCTTTTCCCATGTTAGTGCTTTACTATGTTCTACATGAGATTTACATTCTCATTAAGCTCACCCTTTCCCTAGCATCAACAAATAAAAAAGTAGCAAGCAAATCATCAGACATAGACTGTTCTCACAATCATTAGATTTATGAATGTTTATCTGAGATGGTTCATAAACATTATTATACAAATATATTATATACTATTTGGTATGTATCTTGAGTTTACATTATGAAAAATCCTCATCCCTGAAGACATGGAGGAACTGTGTTATGTTGGTGAAAGAAACCTGTTAAAAGCAGAAGAACTTGCACTGGTTGACAGCTATAGTTAAGGCTAACAATTCAATTTTGAATTGGGCCTGGTCCTAGAACAGGCTTAGCAGCCTAGATATTGCAAGGGTTTTTCCTAAAATATTCCCTCTTTTAAGTATCTATTTTGTCAAGTATCTTTATATGTATTGTAGATATTTCTGTTTTTTTATAAATCATCAGTTACATTTCCCTTTAATTGATGCAACCTACGGAATATTAAGTATTTATGCTGCAATTAAGAACAGAAAAGGAGTTGAACTGATTTAGCTTTCCGATGCCATTTTACACAGTTGACAAAACAACTGAGTCAAACATCTACTGGTTGGCTTTGCGGATATTCGGTGCTATAGATAATTGGATGCTGGGTCCAAATAGTACATATATTAAAGAAAATAAAAGGAAATTACAATTTTTTAACAGAAAGTACAACCAAAAACAGGTTTGAATTCTGATTAGGCCTAACATGTTGACGACCCAATTAGGCAAGATTTACATAGCAAATGTATACCTTCGATTTTCTCATCTTTTTCATCCTTCTGTTTCACTTTCCTTTGATCAGTTCCCAAGTAGTCTGGCATCGTATAAGTCAGCGAATCTATAAAAAATTTAAAAATGTCCAGTTGCCTTCCCCTTCACAATGAGAAAGCAAGCCACTGACTTAAGCGGTGGTGAACAAGTGGCTTCGAAGGAGATTGCCTTCTTTTCAAACACCAGCCTCGTGTTTTCGCCCTTGGCAACAAGATCGTGATTTATTTATCGTTTCTAAAGAAACTCGAGAAAGATCAGAAACATTTTGTAAGACGGCAAAAATCAAAAACCTGCTAAGGGGATTGACAAAAATGGAGATTAGTAAATGGCATTTACCCGGCTGGCGTATAGAACAGCGGTACAATAACAGAGTGCTTATCGGAAATTGGAACGAGGAGAGGCGAGAGGTACAATTTACGAAATATTAATCTTTAGTCTCAAACTAGCAATCCTCAATATGTTCGTTAAACCATTCAATACAGTGATTAATAAAATTTCAGGATGTCAGTATCCTGGACCAACATGTTGATTAACACTTTTCCTGATTTTTTACCATTTCAATTTTAGTTCAGGCGAGGGAATTGGAAGTCCAACAGTACACACCGAACTGACTTCACCAACTATCGGCATTTCGTCCCTGATAACAAAAATCGACAATATGCAATTTTGAAAAACGAGGTAAGTCGACAGAAAAAAACATCATTTTATGTTTAAACTGTTTACTGATTGATATTTAAACAAAGATTGGTCTGACCTCTCACTTAATCAAGTGGTTGAAATGGTGATTCAGAAATGTTGGATTGAAGTAAACTCATCCATATTATTTATTTTGGTTATATTTTATCTTTCAGGGTCTCGATAAAAAATTATTATTCTCACACAGTGGAGCATACAAGAATTACTCCAGCAATATGATATCGTGGTATGACCAGCAATTCAATGGTCGAGAACAAAGAGAATCCAGTTTGCCTATGTTGCGAGCATGGGATGGAAGGACTCTTGCATGGGCTCCTGAGCGGTCTGACCATCCTTTACAAGGTTAGTATTTGGAAATTGTAGAGGCACAAGTAGAAAATCGAGTTTGTCTTTGAAAAGAAGCTATTTTCTAAAATTCCTAAATAGGTACTTCTAATAAAGGGGACACTTTTCCAAATGCCCTGACGTGGGTACATTAAGAATAAGAAACATTTCAGATATGCAAGATTTGGGGCATGTACCCCTAGCCCCACTCTCCCTACTTCTAATGGTAATGTTCTTGAAATTTTCACTAGTTCGTCTTTACTGACAAAAACTATATTTGTGAATTTTATGCTGGCAAGAATCTTTTCAAAGGTTTTATATGTAGATTTAGTCTAAACATGTTTTAGCAAATAGTATGTGGATAAAAACCACGCTCAAACAAAGCTTTCAACAAGAAAGTTCAAACAAATCCAATTATTTCCTTCCCAAACATGCAATTTTTTAATCAACATCTGTCTAATGTCTTGCTTCTGTTTTAGGTACACCAACAAACTTTGGACTTCTTGCAAAAAAACAAGCTAGATTGGTGGAAAACAGCAATTCTGTACCAGAATATCAAACAACATACGAAGGATCTTACAAAAGCCTCCCTGGTGACAGTTTTGTAAAGCACCATTTTTCAACACCCAGACATCTTTCAAGCCACTTTAGTCCACACATCAAAATTAATAAAGACTTGCATCTACGGAGTGCAACAATATGCACTGCACAAGAACACCCACCTAATACACTATTGCTACCAGCTTAGCTCATATGTGTCTCTTATTGTATGTAAATCATTGAATTTTTCTACTTATCCTAAACAATTAGGTTTGGATTGTATAACCATTGGCTAATTATATTACTGTATTTTTTATTTAAATGTGTTGTTTTAATATTTTACCAATTCAACTGTATACTTAGTTTAATCAATTTGGTTTTATCAATATGAAAGAATGCAAAATACAAGTTATCTTGTTTTTTTCAGCATCAAGCCTTTTAACACTATAGAGCATCAACAGCTTGAAATTTTCTATCATTTCTCAATCAGACAATAATTTTTTGCATGGCTGGAATCTCACAAGATCATTTAGGGGCAAATCTTCCAATGATTGGCTTTTAGACACTTTTTGCCAAACTCCCAAAACTGCTTTTATTTGACATTTTACTGTTTGTGTGATGACTAGGCACCAGTATTGTAGTATAGATGGACAGATTAGAAGGGGGTAAAGAAAAATGGAGCAAGGTTAGTGAGTGGGGGTCAGGGAGCTATCCCCAGGAAATTGGTGACCCAGCACTTTTGAATGCTGTGAACAAACAATGGTATGAAATTGATTTTGCATATAAGCTAAGCCATTAGTGTTGCATTAAATTTGCCTTTTGTCATTTTAGAGGCAGTGAGGGGGGAGGGGTTATAGGAGGTTGGGGTACTTCGTCGGCAAACGTTCAGACCTGTGACTGATCAAGGATGGCTCATCTAGATGATTGGCAATTGGACCTGAGCACAGTAGCTAGCGACGGTTCTGATCGCAGCTTATTATAGAACAGTTGCAAAAGCATCATCTCAAGGAATTTATTCATAAGGTGATTTCCATCAACAAGCACCGGCACCAGACTCAAATTTGGTGGGCTGAGATGGGTATGACGGAAATTTTTTTATGCCACGCCTTCAAGAACGTCCGGAAAATGCACCTTTTAGAAACATTTGCTTCTTTCAACTTGGAACGCCAGCCACATCTTTTGAAAATTTCAATGTTAAAACCAAAAATATGAATGGAAAGTTTGATGATAAAAGCGATAAACAGTCAACAATAATTCTGGAGCTAGAGAAATTATTGAATAGTTTATAGTTTAGTTCTAACTCTAGGGTTTTCTTTTTATCGAAAGGGCAAACAAGACATAAATTGCATATAAAATGTTCAAGCTTATTAAATCTTAGATACTAAAAGTGTTCTGGCAAGAATATTTCGTACAGCTAACTTTTGGCGTGATACTTCAATTTCTTTTGTTTTCATTGAACTTTCTTACGCTGTTTCACCATACGATCACCATGTTTTCCTCCCGGCTTTGAAGCCTATCTGTTGGCGGTAGTGTGCAGAATACATTTTTGCCTTGACATTTCAAGGAGTTTCTGTCATTTTCTGAAACAAGATCATGTAAACCATTGAAAGTTAATAAACAGCTACCGATATCTCAAGTGATCAATGCACTCTTTTTTAGATACCAATACCACATACAGGGCCCATGCCACAAATTTGAAAGTGGGGGTGAGGCAAGGCTAGCAAAAGTAGAGGGCCATGGATCTTTCCCCTTTTACTGCAGCTTTAACTAATTGATTCGAAAAAAAGCGGGATGCCATGGCCACCTTAGTCCCCCCAGTCCCCCGGTCCACTCGGTCCTCCTGGTGGCGTGGGCCCTGCTATAACAATTTTCCAGCCTTGATATTTTTCAGAAATTGCTCTGTATCTTAATTTCGAGCTGAGTTATGATGAATGCTCCTCAAATGGACCGGGTCAGAGTACCCTAGTCTAAAAATAGCACTCAGGGGCAAATTTGAGTTGGGGTCTGTCCCCTATCTTTTTCAGCGCATAAAACTGGGTAGGTGTGCAAAATTTCATGCTGGTATCACGATTTGCATGATTGAGCCTTTTTTGTGACTTAAGAGCCTCCACTAGGAGTAACCCTCTGGCCATTTGCTAATGATTCTGATAAAAAGATATGATTCCTTGCCTGACGTTAGTAGGTATGGGTAAGAACAAAATTAGATGAAGCAGATGTTTCTATGGCTCTCTGTGCTACTGCAGATTCATGACAGGGAATCCATTTTACTCCAGGAACTGCGGCTTTAAATTAAAGGCAGACCGGCCATAGTGTGAGCTTGGCTAGCAGTAGGTAAGAATCTATCTAACTGAATAGTATGAGGGGTTTAGCCCTGTGGTCCATTCTATGGTGCAGTCCCTGTGCTCAGGAGTGTAGTGCTAACAATATAACAAGGAAGGCTTCTGGGAAAAATGTTGCTAAAACAATAGCAAAAGTAGCAATTGGCTACTTTTTGCGATCAACAAGGGGGCGCTCTTGATAATTATTGTCTTGACAATAAACTGTCGTAGCGGACTTTTCTAGATTTTGCAGTATAAACGAGTTTTATTCCAGCGTAAGAAAGTTAGACATTGGGTCATCTGACATGAAGCTCTCAATTTTGGGAAAGGTCGTGCTGCTTTACATCACCGGTTTTTGTTTATTAAAACGTTTGGACTGAAATTGGCCTTATCAATCATAAGATATTCAAGGTTATTAGGTGCACCTTTATTTCGAAAAGAATTGAGCCTGAAAATTACAAAACTGACAGCAAATGTTTTAACTGAAATTCAGTTTCCAAACTTTTCATTTCTATTCAAGTTTTGGTTTTTGTTTGAATTTTGATACTAAAATTGTGAAGGCAGAAAGGCCCTCGCTTCATTTTTGGAAAACATGGATGAATAAAAATTGACCTATTGGACAAATTCTGCTTTCACAAATTATCTTACAAAACCCATCTTAAAGAGAGCAAAGGTTAGAGTTTGAATTCATATTAAATTTTATAAACCTTTATCGCAAATTCAGCCTCTTTTTGACGCTAATTTTGACTCGAGACCGAATGACCCAACCGTGCTCATTCAAACTGTGTTCTTTGGCTTGAAGCTACTGGATGTGACCTGGGTCCAAGTTTTTCTGCTTAAATTGGGAAAATCGCTTCAGATAGCAGGGAGGTCTTCCAGAGCAAGATGAATGATTTATACCAGTTAATTTTGTACTACTCTTTGCTGTTCGTACCTGTTCTAGGATGGAAAAGCTCTGCATTTTTGCCAAGGAGTGTGAGAAATCAGAAGAAGCCGATTGATGATAACTTTTACAAGTTTTGGAGGCGTTCAGTTCTTGATGGGCTCATAAAATATGACTACGACACCTGGTTTGCACGGTTTTTGGAATTTCCTCCTTCACTCGAAGCAACTGTGGGCACAGAATTCAATTGTCCAGCAATTCAATCTCACCGTCAACCATCAAGCGTACATCGTTTATTTCCCGGAGACATCAACGTTGTTGCTAGCATTGGAGATTCAATGACTACTGCTTTTGCCGCAAGGTCAAAGAGTGTATTTGATCTTTTCGTCGAATTTCGAGGCATTTCGTGGAGTGCTGGAGGCAAAGGAAAACTTGAAGAAGTAACCACACTGCCGAATATCATAAAAAAGTACAACCCCATGATTTCTGGATTCTCAACCGGAATGACGCCTGTTTCTAAACGAAAAGACAACGGATCTGGGAACAATTTTGCAAAGTCAGGTATGACTTTTCTGTATAGGGAATGTATAATCAAAAGCTCAAGGCGACATCATAAAATAAAAGTTAGCTTGACTTTATCATGAATCCAAATGTTTCTGGTATTATTTTGCCGGCTGTTTTCCCAAATCTTCTTATCCTTGATTATCCACTGATACTTTTCATAAACTACAATAGAAAAATTATACTGTTAGCGCCTAGTTATAATTTCAATGCATCATATTAACTGGAGAAATAGATTTAACTCTTTTTTTCTTCGAGTGTCCCATCTTTTACCTTAAATTTGCGAGTTGATCCTTGTTGTTAATGTGGAAGTTGCTTTTCATTGAAAATACTTTTCAACTGGCTTTATATTAAAAACATACGATTTTTATTGATGCTTCCCTTGTGTTTATAAAATTTCCATGCAAAACTTTCGGTAATCCATAAAGATTTGCAAACCGGTTTCAAATTTTCCTTCCATTTATATTTTTTTTCTAGCTTCGATTTCACTTGGATGCCAATGTCAATATAAAGACTGAAATGGTTATAGATTTGAAGTGTAAATTGAATTATCAATCGTACGATACTACAGTCTCTGCTGCTTTTATTCCGAGCATCTGCAATTTTGAGAAGAGAAGTGGGGGGCGGGGGGTGTGGTAGAGCTTTATGTTATATTTAGTTTCACACTAAGGGAAACTCAACTTTGTAATTTTCACCATAATATCAACACGCAAATATCATTACAAGATAGTCATTCTTCCACATCTCAACAACCACTCCCTCTTAATTACAATAACAAGACTTTTATACTCTTAACAGTGCGCATGTGCAATTACAACAATAGAGTGATAAACAAAGTATTAATCCTACTACAGTCACCCCTTTCTAAATAAAAAAAATGCAATTTTTTTTAAAAGAGTTAGAATAATTAGATAAAAAGATCATAAATAAGGTAAAGATACACACTAAGTTAAATGGATTACGATATCTTAGAGAATAACTCCATATTTACAGAAATAATGTATGTACCACCATGTAAAGCACCATCTAGTTGGAGGTAGGGGCACGAGTTAACTAACCCACGTAAGCGACCATGTCGAGCAAGGATTTCCCTAGCGGAAGGGTAATGGGTGTACACATGCTTACAAGCTTGAGAAGAAATGGCAGATTTGGAAGGTAGAGAGGATAAGTATTTACCAAATTCGTATGCAATGGTGGCGAGATCAGGATCGATGGGAACGTGAGAACCTGATGATGAAGAAGTTTCCGATTCAACTAGTGCGTCTTCAGGTAAACGCAAATCATGGCGTTCTGGATCAGGCACGACTACTAGTTTTTCTATGTTGACAGGTCGTGGCAGAGGTTGACCAGAAGGAAAAGGGCGCAGATTGAGTAAATCAGAACGATTATAAGGATGACCAGTGACAATAAAAGGGCCATCAAAACGGCGCAAAAAGCGGGTGGATTGACCAATGTCTTTAGATGAAAGATCTTTGCGCATGTAAACTATTTTTCCTTCGGGAATGGAAATATGACGAGAGTCAGCATCATAGATTTCGCGCTGATGGCGACGTAAATCAGCTTTAATAGATTTGAACTGAGAATGAGCATCTTTTATACGAGAAACAAGATGACGAGCATAATGATCAGCAGGTAAAGGTGTTGCTGGCAGATCTAAGGAGATAAGTTCAGGGGATGGGGCATCACGACGAAGCTTTGCGTCACTCGATGTGTGATGTTCGCATGACGCAGAAGAAACGCAAGTAAACTCATTAACAGGAGGGAAAGTCTCAGTAGGACAATTGACATAATGACAAGCTGACGTGTTGCATTGAAAAGACGTTAATAGGTCATTAGTGACACTCTCGGTCGTAAAGGTAATAGCGTCCTCAAATAAGGTTTTGTCTCCTGTTGTTTGTGCGCGAACAAAGCCTAAAAATGAATTGAAGGGCACACAAAAATTATCCCTTGTAGAATGGACAATAACATTTGCGTAAAAAGGAAACTCTGGAGACGGCAAATCGTTAGTCTCAGAAGAGGCAGTCGTCTCAGGAGAGACAGCTAGCGTGGGAACTGGTGAATGTTGCCAAAATGCTGTAGCGTTAGCAGAAGGCGTGAAAGTGGGTAATGGCGAATCTGAGTCCATTAAAATGGGGATACGTGAAAATGAAATAGGCCCACTTAAAATAGATATCCCAGAGGCTAGGCAAGAACCTTCTAACCATAAAGGCTGAGTAAATAATGCAGTGCCAAGTAAAGAGGCAGTAAGAAGAAGGCATACTGGGATTAAATTAAACCCTGTCCTAAGAATAGGCGGTTCGTAAGAACGTGAAGGTGAAGGCATAGCAGTAAGCAAGCATGTGAGTTGGGCGGAAGAACCATGGGAGCGTGAAGAGAACCCCAAATTAGGAAATGCCTGTAATGGGTTAGAGGACTCACACTTAACATTAAACTGCATGCTACTATGGTTAAAAAAGACACGATGCTGGCTTGGAAACATACAGGCCTCTGTAGCAATTAAATGGTTGTTTCCGAACAAAATAGGCCATGCTAAATTAGGTACCACCAGCATTGAGAATGTCGAGGAACGTCCATTTTCCCAAACTATAGGAACCTGCATAACACCAACTGCTTGCAAGCTAGCAGAAGGGTTAGCGACAAAAATGCTAAAAGGCTGCTCAAGTTTGTTAAACTTAAGATGAGGACAGTCCTTCGCCACAGTGTCCGCATGGGCTTGACTCACTAAGGAGACTGAGCAACCACTATCTATGGGAAGCGGGAGGGAAACGCCTGCAGAGATAACTCTGGTCCACAAAATGGTTTTAGCAGCAAGATCAACCCCAGAAACTACTAAGGCAGAGGGCGGGGAAGCTATGGCTGGTAACCCAAAAAGATGATCTTGCTGTGAAGAGGCGGGTGTGGCGGAAGTGGAACGTGGAGGTTCTTCGACATTCTGACGTGAATCAGAAGAAGTAGTAGCAACATTAGATACGTGGTGATTAGGCAAGTTATTATAACGACTTCTCCGTGAACTATTAAAACGATAACTCGTATTCTGAGCTGGAGAATCAGATTTACGGTTGCTGTGAAACTTAGCCTTGCAATTAAATTTGCGACAAATAGTGCAACGGTGAATAAATCCTTTTAAGCATAAACCATTTGGAAGCTCGCAATGAACCTTATCAAATTTATTAAAATTACGACAAAGTTTTTCAGCAACATTAGTATTTGTCTTCTGAGGAGCTGAAAAATGTGCTTCAGGCTGCCATTCAACAAAATTTTTCTGTAATTCTACTACAAGAGGAACCCGAAGTTCATACCTTTTTGCTGCTTCGATGAGGGCGGCAAGAGACGGAAAAGCGAAATCTCTGCTAAGAAGTTCGGTCGAAATCTCCGTTTTTAGTTTGATAGCAAAAGCATGCATCAGTTCGAGATCATCTCCAGCAGCCGGACGGTGAATGCCTGGAACCAGCTTTTCTAAGGCATGCTGCGTTTCCTGAAAACGATGGGCAAAGTCAGCCACTGTTTCTGCTTGTCCCTGTGCCATGGTATAATACGTGGACAGAAGCTGGCGGATACGCTGATCTCTTGGAACTCCGCGCTGGTCCAACAAAACTCTGAGACAAACTTCAAACCATTGACGATGATCATCGGCACTAGCATCAAGCGAAGGGCAAGAACTCTTCGATTCCTGACTGCAAATTATGTCGTAAGCACGGGCATCTTTTGCCACTTGCTGCTTTAAATAGGGCAACCATTGAAATGGAGGAACACCAGATGATTGTAGCACCGCTGTCAGCTGCTCAGCAAAACGATCCAAGTCTTCCTTGCCGGTAAAACTTGGCAAACTTAAATTAGGCAGTCGCAACGCAGTTGAAGAAGACGGTGGCTTCAAGGCAGCAACGGTCTGCGACAAATCAGCAACGGCTTTCGCCAAAACAGACAGTTGATCGGCTGTTGCTTTGCTGGCTTCATTTTGAAGAATTTGGTTGGTTTTTACAACACCTGCCAAGCCATTAATCAAACCAAGAACTTCTTCCGGCGACGCTTGAGACATTAAAAAAAAAACGAGATCAACGGTCGGCTATTGATTAGCACAAACCGGGTCCTACACCAAACTGTGGTAGAGCTTTATGTTATATTTAGTTTCACACTAAGGGAAACTCAACTTTGTAATTTTCACCATAATATCAACACGCAAATATCATTACAAGATAGTCATTCTTCCACATCTCAACAACCACTCCCTCTTAATTACAATAACAAGACTTTTATACTCTTAACAGTGCGCATGTGCAATTACAACAATAGAGTGATAAACAAAGTATTAATCCTACTACAGGGGGGGGGGGGTAATGGAAGCTTGCTGGATACAAGTTTGCATGAATCATTAATGGTTCATTGTGGCAATCTCAAGAGTACCTTAATCTTAAAACTTGCATTATTGCTTTATAGTTCCCTCTAATGTATTTGGTTTTACCATTTTTTTCTCTTGACAGGGGCAACAGCTGAGTCTTTGAGTGAACAGGTGGAAGAACTGATTTCCGTCATGAAGGAAAATAGAGAAATCAGCTTTAAGAAAGACTGGAAGCTTATAACAGTTTATATTGGTACTGAAGATTTGTGTCTGGCGTGCCATGATCATGATTTAGGCGCACGTCATTTCATCAAAAGAGTATCACACACACTGGAGAAAATTCGAGAGAAAATTCCTCGTGTTCTAGTAAACATTATTCAGGTTTTTGACGTTACCAAGTACAATGCACTAACGGGCTCTTATTGCCAAGCGTTTCTGAAAGTGTCGTGTCCGTGTGCTGTCGGTGGATATCGCCAACGTGCTTTGGTATCAAGACTTGCTAGCCAGTACTCAAGTTTATTGAAAAGATTAGTCGATTCTCCAAAGTAAGCTTATATTAAAAGTGACCTATGGTTTGAAATATAGTTACGTGTGCTTAGAAAAGATAGGGGTGAACTAACTCCGGGTACTGTCATACCTGATTTGTTTGGACATATAACTCTGCTCCTAATTGAGTAGCGTTTTCTACCCTGAAGTTTGTCTAAAGAGAATACAAAGTTTAGAAGAAAAGCTTAGCCTATCAGTATACAAGCATAGTAAGCACACTTTGAAATAAAGCATGCTTTCCTGATTTTCTAGATACAGAGATACCCAAGATTTTGCAGTTGTCCTGCAGCCGTTTCTGTCTCATGCCGCACTGCCAAGAAACTCCATGGGGAGGGATGATTATTCGTACTTCGCGCCAGACTGTTTCCATCTCTCCGCAAAGGGTCAGGCTGCAATGGCAACGGCCCTTTGGAATAGCATGCTGCAGCCAGTTGGTCTGAAGATGAATGCGTGAGTAATCATGATCTAAATAATAGGGGCTGCACCAAAGAGGAAGGGTGCGGTAGGATGAGATTGAAAATTACTAGTACACTGCCGTTGCATTTTTTAGTAACATATGCCCAGGGACGTCACTTCACTAATTTTTTGGGGGGTGTAAACACTATTGCCCTGCAAAATTTTTCCTGTAAAACAAGTATAGATGTACTGTACTTATGCATATATTACATAAGTACATGTATTATTTTCAAAAAGCAACACAAACCAACAATCGCAATAAAAAAAGTCAATAATTAGTCTACTTTCACACTAATTTACTTAATTGAAATTCTTCTCATTTTTTTCATGCCATACTTTTAATACTTTATCAAGTGGGATAGTGTCTGTTAGGTCTTTCTCACAAGCAAGTAGAATGAGATCATTCAATCGTTCATCTTTCATCCTTGATCGCAGCAAATTTTTAACAATCTTAAGTTTGCTAAAGGTTCGCTCGTCTTTAGCCACAGACACAGGTGCTGTAAGAAGAAGGCTGTAGCATTTGTAAACCGTTGGGAAAAGTCGTCTGTTTTCATATGAAAATTTGGCAGCCTCTTTGACGGAAGTTGGCTGGATCTGTTGCTGTTCAATCATTGACTTAAAAACATCTAGCTCACATAATATAACCCCTGCTTCAATATGAAAGCCTGGTGGGAAAAGCTTTCAAAGATCGTGGACTGTTTCTGGGTTTATCGTTTTGAGTGGTGGCTGCAACGCCATTGCCAATGGCTCAATTTTTTTTAAGCATGCCTTGATATTTTCACCATACTCTGCTATCAGAGAATCGAGAACAACACACATTTCCGTTCTGTAGAAGGAATTAAATTTAAATTCCGCTGATGTTTCTGGACCGTTGTCAATCTTTCTTGGCTGCAACGTGAGTCGATATTTCCACTAAACTCAGCCGCTGAATCTATTCCATGCTGTTTAGCGCACTCGTTTAGAGCATCCAACTCTTCATCCATAGCCTTGTTATCAATGCGAATCTTCTTAAGATTTTCTACTGATGCTTCAATTAACTTCATCGCATCTAGGATGTTAAGCTCTTCTGCTTGGAGTTGCATCGTCAAAATCTTTGTTTTCTTCATAATTAATCTCATGAAAATCAATGCAAAAAGAAAGTCAAGTCATTTTTAACCTTCATTTCTGTGCTGTCGTCACTGACAACTTTTTCAATTGCTTTGAGTATGCTTTGTAAACTTCGCCACACTGCTTCTATCGACTCTGAAGAGTAGACCCATATCGTTTTAGACATGTTGCGGAGTTTCAAGGAGTACTCATCAACTTCTTGAACTTTTTTATTGTAAATTTTGTTTCGTTTGGAGCTGGCACTGAAGAAAACATATATATCTTGAAGATTATTGTATATCGACGTAATTATGGCACTTTGTTTTGCACAATGCTCTTTGAAAGTATTAGATCGATGCCCTTGACATGGAATGTACGGGACTGGTCTTTCAAGAATATCTTGTAGAACCCTCTGTGCCCCTGCAATTCTCCCAGACATATTATTTACGAAATCGTATGTTTGGAAGCAGAGATGATTCACATTAATTTCATTTGCTTCCAGACACTTGAGAATACATTCTGCTGTCTTATCTCCATGTTTGTCATTGCACTCTTTCATTTCCACGACTCTCTCGCGCGCAATTCCATTTTCACCAATATATCTTGCAGCCACAACCATTTGATCCTTATTGCTAACATCGGGTGTTGTATAGGCCGAAACCGACAACATTTTAGCACACTCAATGTCATATTTTATTCTTTCTCTAACATTCCCCCCCCCAGATCTCTAAAAGTTCATTTTGTGAACTAGAATCATGTATTTCGTACTGAAAGGCTTCAATCGTTTGCTATCAAGCCATTCTTTCATCTGTAGACAGTGCCTGGACAGAAGATTCACAAACTGGACAAAATTGCCGTTCTGGTCTCCTGCGGAGCCTCTGAAAGCAATTCCTTGCCTTGCCAATGTTCTAGCAATATCAAACAAAATGTTCATTATCGATTTGCATTTTTCTTCGTCAGCCTTCTCCTGAATGATGAAGTCCTTCAGATGCCTATTCATTTGAATGTCAATATGTCCTTGTTCGACTGAAAACCTAGCAAAATCAGCCAATGCTGCTTGGTGTGCTTCAGAAGAAAAATGCTGAGCAAGCTTGCCACTTTTCATTTTATGCCATGATGCGATACCGTTTATCCAAGCAGTGTCACTTTTTCTTCGCGAGGGGCACGGAAATAAGAAACTCACTTTACAATACCACAACAAATCGGAAAAACTAACATATGTTTTGGATTTGATAAGAAAGTAAAATGAATTAAGATATTTTGTGAAACTTGATTTCTAATCTCTTTTGCCCTGCGAGAACTACTAATTCCTTCTGCTTTGCCCTGCAAAATGCTGTTTTTCAGGATTGGGGGGGTGAAACACCCCCCCAAACCCCCCCAATAGTTACGTCCCTGCATATGCCCCTAATAATTGACAACCAAACAACTCCTCCCTTGCTTTCTACCCTATCCGACACCACTTTGAAACTCAAAGCCACCTTGAATAATGTCCCATGTTTAAATTAATATCTGAAAGAGAAATGCCGGGTATATATCGGCCCATAAGACCGCTGGCTTTTTGTAAATGCATCTAAAATTTTAACTTATTTGAGGCGATGCTTGTCCAAATCTTAATCATTTTGGAGCAACATTTGTAAGATTGTGTTTTAGAATAGCTGTTTAGCCTGGTATTTTACTCTTAAAACTATAACAGTAATCTTGTACCAAAGTTTAAATTTCTCTTTTCAATTATAGCATTCTTTATTGCAGAGTTTACTTAATCTTCCTTTCTCCGTTTTAGAATAAAGATTTGTTTTCCGCTATTTTTTGCCGAGCTAAATAATATCAGAGCACTTAAATAATATAAAAATGCACTGCTGACTTAGAAATAACGCAACAAGAATCAATAGATCGTAAAATTGCATATACACTCATTTTTTTATAAGAAACAAAGGTCGATGTTGAGTACTCCAGTTTCCTAATGTTCTGGAAATTTCAATACTCACTGTTTCTTAAGAGTTTCTTAATTATGATGTCATGAATGATGTTATGAAATCTTTGTGACCTTTTTTAACACGTCAAGAGATTCGCTTCCGTTCCGATGCTGTATTTAGATGTGGGAAGTACATTTTCATCCCTTGTGTCTTACGTTCTAGGCCAACAGGGCAATCTTGTTCTTGGAGTTTACAAAATTTCATTGTTCTCAGTTTTATCACGATTTACTAGTTTCTTACTTTTTATTTGCTCCGAGTACTGAAGTTTTGTTAATCTTTTCTGACTGTCCAGTACTCGTTTCTTATAGCCAATTTCTTTTAAAAAAATGAGTGTACATCCGAAATCATAAACTTGAAATTATATCATAACTAATATGTCAAGGATTCAGCTTCTGTTTGAAGCTAAAATGATGAAAGGCCCTCGCAGTTTTTCAGATATTTATTGCTATCTTCCTGCATTTATAAAATTCCCAACACAATTTTTCGATTTTCAGCTTGAATTTCAACGACAAACTGGGATGCCCTCGGCCAGATTTCCCGTTCATATTCACTAAAACGAATTCAAAAGAATACCTCTCCGCCAGGCCACAAATGAATTCATTAAAATGGGATGAGCTAAGCATGAACAGGGAAAAAGTTTCAGAAAGAGAATCAAAAGAGAAAGGAGAGGTTGAAAGAGAGGCTGGCCCACAATCACTTGCAGTAGCCATTGGAAGTGGCTTCGCAGTGGCAGCAGTTGCAGTTGCTGTTGTGATATACGTTATAAAGAAGAGAAGAGGGAATAGTCTGCTAGCCGGAGAAGCCACTCGCAATTACCAAACTCTTGGTGATGAGACAAGACTCTAATAGATTTACTACACATGTATGCTTTGAGAAAAGTTTTTCTGCAAACTTTGTTACCTATAACATCTAACTTAGTTAAATCTAATTTATACTGTTTGACACTTAATGTAGCTGTAGTGACATTTTTGTTTCGATGTAGTCCAGTTTGAAGATGTAGCTCTAATATTTAGGTTTGCTTTTTCTACATAAATTTTTTAACTGTTGGTGCTTTGCTGTGATTTCTATCTCTTCATTCTTTTTCTGAATATAGATATCAAACATTTTGAACCCCCTAAAAACTATCAGTACTACAGAATCGCACTGAGTAGATAGCAAACGTTTACTATCTGTATCTTAATAAAAAAGACGTTTCTTTCAACACGAATCATTGCAAACAATCCTGAAGCACCGATGTAGGTTCCAAACGTTGTATTCAGTTATATTCTTGAATCAGGTATTGTTGGTAATCAACGGTTGTTGAAGGAAAGGACCTCTTCAGGAAGTACCTCTTAGTTATTTTGCAAATATTGAGAGCTTTCGTAGATTTTGCACTTACTGGGTGCATCTTCAACAAAGTGCTTTTGAGCTTCTTCAAGAAAGCAAGGCCCATCGCAGCTTTTTCCAGTCACTTTGCTTATAATGTTCCGAGGATGGGGGAAAGTCTTACCCCTTAAAGACTAAAAACATGATATAGTGGTCTAAAGAGTTTAACCCAAGTATCTTATAAAAGAACGCAATGCGAAAGGAATCCAGGCTTACGAAAAATAAGGAAACGTATCAAGGCTGTAGGAATTGATTGAGATCGGATTAAAACAAAAAGTTTAAAGTTGAGCTTAAATTTCAATAGGAGAAATTGCAACAGTAAGACAAATGCTTCAACACATAATTGTTTCAGAAAAGAGAACAGCTAGCCAGAATCATCAGGCCCGTCGAAACCGAAGGTGGGCTGAGGGGGCTGGAGCCCCTAATAATTGAATTATGTTTCTTTTATAACGGTTTACTGAATGAGAAAGAAAACAATGGGCAGCCCCCCCCCCCCCAATATGAATTTCGTTCCGACGGCAGTGATTATAAAAAATGTTTGTCCTTCTTCCAGACAATTGAAAAAGCTCCTCGGATAACAAAGATATACGCTTTGTTTTGGTGGGAGAAAACAAAATATCTGGTGTGTTCTGCAAATTCGATTTGTTATTTAAATTTCTAAATATTCTATTTTTCTACCTCAAACTAAGAGATCGTTGCCACACTTTGAAAGGCTGAGTTCTTTGGTTGATTTTTTTTACTTAAATGTCATATATGGGTTAAACACACCCAAAGTTAGCGTTTAGCGTAAATGATATTTATCCCACGAAATGCTTAAGGGTGGAAATGATGTCGTTTTATTTAAAGCTGAGTACTGAATTCAAATTTTAATTAGTTATTATTTCTATTGAATAGATACAGACTGGTTCCCTATTTTCAATTCTTCTGCTGAAGTCAGCTGTCCAACGTTGAAGAAAACACACCAATGTTTTTCAACTTATTTTTCTCTATATCGGGACGTTATGGTATTTGTGAATTCAGAGGCCATCCAAATATGAGTCCAAAAATGCTAGCACAAGCAGTTATTGATGGTGAATCATGAATAATAAAGCATTTATTTCTCTATGGCTCGTTCCTTTAAAGCTTGAAAGTCAAGCCAAAGCTTTGAAGGACAGCTAACTAGGAATGATTTCCGAAGTCCGGTTTTCAGACTATCCAGACTGGTAAATATCCGGAGCCCGGTTCATATTATGTTGTACAATTGATCTTTTTATGTGAGGCTATATAATCAAAGATGTAGAAGCAACAGACACTGATATTATTAAGGTTAACAATGGCTTAACGGTACGAGTTTAAAAAGGACTTTTGAATGCTAAGGAAACTTTAGGGGAAAGCGACTGCCAAAGCTATATTAATTCTGATGCCACAAATATTACCAAAACCTGGCTGCTCTGTACTTTATATTTAAGACACTGCTACAGACTTTATAAACCTGCCTTTGACACTTGGTCAAGGATGTAAATTTGAAATATTTTAGAATAATTCTAGACGATACTGCAAAGCATGGACAACGAGCCATTGTGCACCATTAATGTTTAATCGCCAGCGCACTGCACGATGCACCTGCCTTGAGACAAAGGATAATTTTGATATTGACAATATCAGGAAACATGCTTGGGCGGACCATTTGCTGCATCATGGGGGTTCTAGTATTTGCTGTTTCGTCAAGGCAGGTCAAACGTGTTCGCAAATAAAAAGCCTCCTGGGAAGGAGGCGTAAACGAGGAAGAAGCTGCGGAAAAGTGTTTTATAGCAAAGTTACTCAAGAAAACAACAATTTTCCAAATGATATGGATACTAATGCAACAGAAAAAACCTTTTTATCTTCATTCTGCAAAAAAATGTTTGGACGCAATAAAGGCAACCTGAGAAGCAGAGTACGGGAAAGACTTCGCAAAGCAAATAGCATTCAACCCAAAGAGATGAAGAATAGTGCTGTTTGTTGTACATTAATTCTTTCTTCCAATAATATTATTCAAAGGCCTTTAGTTTGATGTCTAATATCAACACAAATTCCTTTATCGACAGTTGCTTTAAGGAATTATGCATACATCCCTTCTGGAAATAAATGAATCAAAATATTTCAAACGTACTTCGAAGTTAGGAACTTCCCGGCTATTCTGAAGTAACATTCAAAGTTAAAACTTTAAGAGATAATTGGATAAAAAAGTCGAAATTAGCCATGGGTACTAAAAAATCTGAAGATAGCACACCAAACGAAAACATATCATACTAAAGTACACTCGTCTTAGCAGAAAAGTTGGGTGGAATGATTCAAGGTAAGCGGTAATTCATATCAAGTGGCGAACCTTAAGTATTGTGAGAGAGAGATTGGTGCAATAAAATGTACCCGTGAAACTTGGATTTGCAACAAAATACCACCTTAATCTATTAATCAAAGCATGTACTATTGGAACGATGAGTGACACCACTCCAATCACTTTTGTAGCTTATGATTGTAATATTTGTTTCTCTATTTAAGTGTAAGTCTTAGGGTTGTTATGCATTTCCATGCTCCCTAGGCTTTTGTATTGTAATTGATTGTCGTTGTAAATTTTTATGAGAATATATATATATAAAAAAAGCATGTACTTCTCTGCCTCAGTGCGCTGAGCACATATATAATATACCATTCTTCATAACATCCTTATCATTTTTTTCTCGTTTTCAGAATTTGTTTTATTTTTTGTTTCCCATTCATATAAAAGAATTTTCGTTTGCTATTCTAAATTATCTTGCATTCACAATTGCAATTCTCTGTCGATGAAAAACACCTATTGAGTACCACTTTAAGACAACTCATTCAGCTATTTTACAGACTGCATTAGCATATCGTCAATTTATGTGAGCAGTATATATAACTTGAAACAGTACATAGAATAGTGCATATATTGAATTTTGGGTACATGAAAATGAACAGATAAAAACTAGGATTCACTGACAGTGGTAACGACAGATGCGATGCACGATTTAGGCCACAATGCACTTTTTCTAAGAAGTTAACTGTTAAGCTCAAATGGTTTGAGAAAGACCTTGCAGCATGTGTTAGATTATGATATTTCTTCAAGTTTTATACAGGATAGAAAGTCCTTTGTGTGCTATGTCCCAATGTACTTCTAACATGTTTCGAGCAAAAAACATATTGCGCTTACAGTGAATCTAGCCGCGATTGAATTGCGATGCAGAAGATTCGATCTACAGATTTGAAATACATTTGTCGTCAATTGCCTATGCTGATTGATTTTATCTTATAAACGAAGGTTAATCCTGGTCATCTGAAAATCTTTAAATTTCATTAAGTATACATGTGAGTAAAGCTTCATCTAAGGACATTATTTTAATGAATGTAAAGAATAAAATTGACTTCATAATGGATGCACTAATGTTATTTGTAAATATACTGATGTTCTGAAGTAAATAAACATATAAATGTTTATCATAATAGCAGTTACACATTTTACTTCTGATGAAAACACAAGAAAGTAAAGTGACACGCCCTAATCCTCCATTTTGTCTTTTAAGAATGTCTTCAAAACGTAAGGGTATTTTTTGGAAGAAAGATGGTCACTTTTTAGATTCTGCCAATAGCAGCGATTTTTCGCGACTGTGTAGCCCTTGCTCTTTATAAGTTATATGTTTCTTATAGGTGCGGGGCCTGTTTGTCTACCATAAGCCATTGCCCCTAGACTCCCCCCCCCTAAAACCGCCACAAATGTCTGGAAATAGATTCAAATGCCCGAATCTGTTGGAAGATGTAGTCTTTGAGTTGGTCAGGAAAATGCATGCACGCACTTATTTGATTTTCGGTTTGTGGATTTGTCGATTCAGTTAATCTAAAACAGAATTAGTCTAAAGCAAAGTTCAGTTCCAAAAACAAGTTTGTCACCATGAATGATGATTATGTTTGTTTGCTGTAATGGTTTTTTGGTTACAGGTAAAGCTTTTGGAAACAATTTGACCACCTTTGCAAAACTGAACAATTTGACCACCTTTGCAAAACTGATCAACAAGATTTGGAGCTATTTATGCAAGATTTATCATTTAGTTTAGACAACGTAGCAACGACGGTCTTCAGCTTTGACAGGTATTGATAAACATGAAATTGTAAGTATACCGCTTCAGTGATTTCAAATAAATTTGTAATGTTGTCTTGTTTTAGCGCATTACAGCTGAAATAACAAATGTAGCAGATTTTAAGACCGATCATTGTACAGCCTCTCGCAGTTATATCTTTTTCAAATTACTTGCTGTACAAAAGCTTTCTAGTGCTTTTGTAAAACCATATTGCATAAATAGTAAATATCGATCATATTTGCAATTAGATTATTAACTAAATCAGAGTCTTGCGCTAAAGTAATGAAAATGGACTTATCTATTCTGTCTTCTCTAAATTTTAACATCCTCTGCTCTCAAGTGCTGTTGTTAGAAGACAAGAAATAAACGTCTGTTAAAGGCTATTTCTGGCCTACCGTATCTGTTCGAGTATAAGCCGTGGCTTATACAGTATTCTCTCCAATTAACGGACACTCTAAAAAGCTGACGCCTCTGATTAGCGGACAAATTTTTTTCCCCGATCGTTTTCTGGTCAAAGTCTCATAAAAAACTTTCTAAAAAGCGGACACTTCATTAGCGGACACTCTAATTAACGGACAATATTTTTTGCACAAAATAGTCAATTTGGCTTTTTTTCTTTCCAATTAGCAGACATTACAAAAAAGTTAGAAGCTAGCAAACAAAAAACTTAGACGAATTAATATTTGTTCAAATATCTATTTCAAACACTTGGTGGTAAATTACTGGAATTTCCAGGCCATAGCCACCTCCACGATTCAACCTCTTTTCAATAACTTTCTCCGAAGGGGGGTTAGATGCTTCCGACAGAGGGGCTGTAGCCCTCCCCTGACGCCACCATTGATTGCACCTTTTAAATACAAAACTCGGGTCTATTTTCAAATTTGGGACTTACATTGCAAAACTTTCCAAAAGGCGGACATTTCCAATTAGCGGACACCTTGCTCGTGCCCCGCCGGTGTCCGCTAATTGGAGAGAATACTGTAATCATTTGTTGGCCCATTTTGCTGCGGTAATGATCAAGGACGGCTTATAATCAAGGGCGGCTTATAAACAAGAATGGCTTCTAAACAAGGGCGGCTTATATTGTTATATCTAGAATTTGCCCAGCTTTCCTGCTTCCTTGAAGCTGAGGCTGATAATGTAGAATATATCTGGACGATATTGTTGTTGGTTGAACTTCTAACGACTATTTTTTGGTTTATAAACATAATCAGGTTTTTATCAGTTTTTGATCCGTCAATTCAAGCAAATAATCTGTGCATGACTTTTTTGGCGTGGCTTATAATCAAGGGCGGCTTAAATACGAGTAAATACGGTATTCTGTACCCAAGTTTCTGTTAATCTTTATAATGAGTGAAAGAAAATTAAACATTTTGCTGGGCATAACAGCTTTGATTAAAAGAGGATTGAAAAATAAAATAATAAAATACGCGTTGGTTGTAGAGAATTTTCAGTTTCAATAAAAGTGTATTGTATTGCAAATAATCAAATCCTTATACTTTCAAGTCCTTTAAGATCCTCTCTTATAAAACTGTGGCAAACAGCCACCGAAGGCTGTTTCTACTTCATGTTATAGCGAATATCACAACGACTAAATCGTAATTTTGTTGAAATGGCTCGTTACTGATGATATTTATAACTTTTATATGTTGGTAGATTTACATTGTTTTGTAGTTTTTATTATGTAACTGTAACAAGAAAGTAGTAACTTATTATTGTGTCGTATATCTCGATATTGCATGGAGGGGGGGGGGGCGTGAATCTTCATGCCATAAAGAGAATAGTTGAAGAGGGAAAAAGCGTTTCATTAAAATGATCTTCCATTTCTATGGCCCTCTCTTTCATTGCTCTAGTATCCAAGGTAGTCCCAGGGGCATCACTTGAGGGGGTTATGGGGGTTGGGGGGAATGGGGGGTATGGGTAATGGGGGTTGGGGGTATGGGGTATGGGGGTATGGGGGGTATGGGGGGTGCTGGTTCACGAAAGTAGGACCTGTTCGCAGATTAAACGGATTTGTGCAGGGCAAATGTTTTCTACCAACGGGTATGTTTTGTTGTTTTTCTTATGTAACTGTAACAAGAAAGTAGGTTATGCTTGGAATTTGTCTATTCCAAAAGTAAAATGATACAGACTACCAATGACACGAAGTAGAAACTGCCGAAGTGGTCTTGGGCTGGATGGATTAGATAAAATTGATTCTGATTTCCTTTCAATTGTTACACTCATTTCTATGGTTACACCCTTGGTTGATATTTGTGTCTTATTTAAAAACCATACTAAAAGGACAAGCACCGCTTGACAGAAAACCAAGACACTGTAAACAGGGTTATTTGGGTCAAAATTTGATGGAATAGTTGTGCATATTTGAGTCTTAACTTTCTTGACTGTAACCAGAAGCTTGATTTGAGAAGGGAGTCGACTATATAAGGTTTTTATATCCATTTTTTGTGGATGATATAGGGTGTATTGTCTATATTCCTGTAGGTTTTCAAGCTTGTGTTTGCCAGATAAAGATCGCCGCCACGTTTGAACATTCATGAAAAAAGCAACCCACGATGGCAAAAAACTCCTCGTTTTTGAGTTCATTGTTCAAAGTTACATTTTACAGTAGCTCAGCCTCAGCTTGTTCTTAATTTGTTCTCAACTTTTGACAAATTTTGAAGCTCGTGTTCTTATAAAATTGTTCTTATAAAAAGAGAGTGTAAAGGCAATATAATTATGTTTGAGAATGAAAATCACCATCTGTTGTATTTTATATGCAACAGGGCAACAGTTTCCCCATAATGATTTTTGATGGCATAGAGGGAAGCTTTGATACCCTTATCTTGTGAAATGCTAGTGTGTTTTTTCGAAAGTGTGTTGTAGAAAATGAATGCATGCTCTTTGAAACCAGGATGGAGGGTTGCTTCACTCATTAAAAAACTTTATCTTGCTCGTCTCCCCAAGGTTAAGCAAACACAACGGTGAACTTGTGGACACACTGAGCAAGGACCTTTGCGGGAACAACTTACCTTAAGAAGTATTTTAGTGTTAAGGGAACTCAGGGCCAGTTCCAAACATTTCCAACTTTTGCCAGAGCAAAAGTTTTTCTGCAGGGCAAATATGCAGCGACCCTTCAACAAAAAGTATGAAGTGACGTCCTTGGATAGTCCTTCTCTATACAGCAAATCCCCATCTGACTACTTTCTTCAGTCTGGTCATTTTACATTGACATATGAAACTGTTTGATTGACAAGCAGCACAAGGCTGAAGGCTCATTTAAAGGTAAATTTTCAGTCCCAAAACTGCATGCAAATCTAAAAGGTGGGAGGCAAATCAATTAAAAAACATTATGACTTCTCAAATTAGAGACATAAAAACTAAAATGCAGCACAGTACGTCTTCAACATTGGTGCTAGGGAGGTCAGGTGGCTAATCTCCTTTGTTTATATAATCTTCATAAATTAGCCAATTTCTACATTTGCTATTGTTTTTGGCAAAATTTTGTTCAAAAAACCCCCTTTCTACTTTAATAGCACTAAACCACTGGTTGTATTTTGAAGCTTAAAGTCAGGACATTTTAAGAAGACACCATCTTGGGTTTTCTTAATTTTACGTCAACAAGAAAAGAATCGAACTATTTACAGTAAAACATAAGCAGCATATACTAGCGGGAGTTTATAACGTGTCCATATTCAACAAACAAGTGTAAACAACTGACTTATTATCCGACTTCGAGGTCTGGGCACGAGTGAAATGATTAATCCGATGTTTCTCCTTCACAACACTGTCCCGGAGAAAGTTTGCAAAATCATAATATTAGTCCACAACAAACCTATTGAAACTGTTTGTTAGCAGCAAAATTATTTTTCATTTATTCTAAAGCTTTGAATATCTCCAATGAATCATTTGTTAGCACTAAATTCTTCTATCATTTTGCAAAATGATTCTCAAGCTGTCGAAAGAATATTTTTGCACTTGAAAACATACAGCACAGATGATAGAAACATTGAAAGGCACATATCAGGGTTGTAAAGCAATCAACCCCAGAAATGCAGTTGAACATGCCCTTGAATAACTTCGTTTTTGCTTAAAAGCTTTGCACTCAAAATTGATGTTACCTCTGCAAAATATTTTGATGTTGATTTTTACAAGAGAAATTGATCTGGAGTAATTTTTTAAATGAGAATCAGACGAGTTTTTTGGAGACTAAAAGTTCTTATTTTTTAAATAAGTTGAAGCTCTGATATGACTATTTTAACATTAATTTTCTTATTTCCCTTATTTCTCTATTCAAATGCTATAAATTGAATGAAATTTATTTTCTAGCACGGTTGACTAGCTGAAAAAATCTCTTCTTTTTGCAACAGCAAAGAAGATTTTCAAAAACATTAATTTCTTCTTTCTAACTGTCGAATGATTTTACGCTGCTCTTAGTTTTTCTTTATGTTCTTATAAAATGTGTTCTCACTAAAAGGTGCACTGTTTATTAAAATAATCCTCAGTATAATATACTGGCAGCATTATTAGTCATTTTGAATTGTTTTGTTGTAGTCTTGTTAAGATCACATTAATTTACTTCCTTCTGGCTATGGCTGAAGCTAGAATATTGCGAAGAAACTGCGGTGATTATGCTGATTTCAGTTACGTTCAAAACGATCAAGCTCTTGTTGGGCATCTCCTGGAGGCATTTGTTGGTTTGCTGCCAAAACAATGCGAAGAAGAATGTATCAACCACGTGCTCTGCAAGTCAGTAAACATTGAAACAAGTGGAAATAAATCATGTGAACTGAATAGCAAAACGCCTGCCGATGCAACTGACCAAGTGTCTCTTGCGCCGAGAAGTGGTTGGGTATTCAAATCAACTAAATTTACGGAACGATTGGTAAGTATCGAGTATATGTAGCAATGAATCGTTCTGAAGTATATAAGAAAGTTCTGCGGCCTGGATAACGCTTAAAATCACATTTGTATCATAAGTTTTGATGTTGCTTAGCCATTGGCACAGACTATCGATAACTTCATGTCTCACGTCACGAAAAATATAAACATTTTGTGACAGCCGCCGGGGACACTAGACAGGTAGCAGTTCCTTCATAAAGCCACAAGCAGGTAACGATATGTCTAAAGAGAGGGAACTGTATCAAAAGAAATGTTTTATAAAATTAGATGATACTGCCTCAGCTGACATACATCATAGGAAAAGAAAATGCAACGCCAAACACAAAGATATAATTCTTATAAGATTTTTTGAAAATTTATAAGAGTAAAAGTTTTGTTCTTATGAGAGGTTGGAAGATTCGATTCCTCTTTGATTACTTCATATAGAAATATCCTTTTAACTGATGAATTTGACAATAATACTCATTTAATTATAAAAAAATATCTAATTGTTAAATGCAAATATCAATAATTATGTAATTAGGAAAAGAAAACTGGTACCACCCGTTCTTAACCTGGGTTCGTTAAAAGTTTTTTTAGACCATATAAAGCATTAATCTTATCAAAACAATTTTTTTAGCAGTTTTTCCTATTGTCAATCAGTTCCCATTTTTCCAAAAGTTACCTGGCCTGGTTTTGTCAAGGATAGTCATTTCTTGGTGATTTTTTTTATATTTCTATTGATCATTGCTAAAAATAAAATTTGTTTTGCCAAAATCTGAAATTGCTGGTAAATATGCCAACTATACAAATGAAAATCTAGTTTGGTAAGATCTGGTGTTGGTGCCGCCTCCATAGTCGTAACAAATTTTCAACTTCTGCCAAAGTCGATAAAAGGCTTTTAAATGCATGTGATCTATTCAACCGAGGTGCAAATCACTCCTTGAAAATCTCATACATATCTGAAACCATCCTATTGTTTAACCTGAAAATCGTTTTGTTTTGGAGAAATTCCCATACGCTATTTGCAAGAGTGGATTGCCCTCGGGCGGCTAACATCTTTTAGGATAATGTACCAAAACACAAAATGCAATTAATGTGTGAAGCGATTGGCTGTAGCTCTTGATACTTGCGTTGCGTTGCGTTGCGTTGCGTTGCGTTGCGTTGCGTTGCGTTGCTGCATGGTTCATTATATGTAGGCTCAAGCTCAAAATGGTTTTCATCCTTCATTAGATTGGACATTTGTGCAAGAAGCGAAACCCATGTGGGGGTACCCAACTATGCATTGACGTCTGTTATCCTCCTGGCTACGTATGCCATGAGTGCAAGGAACTGAGTTCTGGGATGGCCTGTCGAAGAGGTGAGAAATTTTTTGACGTGAAATGTACCATGTTTGCATTCTACCATTACTGTAATTCAATTAAATAATGATGTAATAAAACCCATTGGAAATAAATTGTCCATAAACAAAGTTACAAGAAATACAGATAGTGAGATTAATTCGCCTGTCTTGTAATAAAATTGAATTAGAAAAGTTTGATGTTTGATGAGACGAAAACACGGAGCCGTGAAATTCAACATTAGATTGATTGTGTGGTAATTCAATAAAACGCCAAAGGCAACCTCAGATGGCAGAAATCATCAAATCAAGGGGGCCAATTCGAGGATTTACGGGAGCAGTGGGGGCTTATTCAAGGAGGGGGGGGGGTTATTAACAATTTGTAGTTCTAGGCTAGGGGCTTTTTCAACAGGAACCACTGTAACCTGATGCACACCAGAAAATGTTTTTTCTGGTAACAAAAATAATAATCTAAATAATAACTTTCTCTGCAGAGAATTAGCTTTTCTAAAGCAAGAAAATTTTCATAAAGAAAAGGAAGTATTCTGAGTTACAATCTTGGCATTTTTACTGTTGTTTAAATATTATTTCAAAGTACTAATACTTTACTAGTATTCTAAATAATTCTTGTCTTTTTCCCTTTTTAGCTGTCATTTTAAATTTATCTTTGTCCATAGGCCCTTTATTCAAAAACATCGCTAAACATAAGCCGGTTCATCTAACAAGTGTCTACTACGCTAACGCAGGCCACGCTGTTGATGGATATTTGCCAACATACTACAGAAATGACTATGGTGTTTATTTTTGCTGTGCTAGGCTCCGTTATTCTGGTTGGTTGAGAGTTGATTTTGGTGTGCCTGCGGAGGTGCACACAGTAGAGATATATGGAAGAGGAGATGATCATGATCTATCATACCACAAGCAATTACAATTAATTTTAGGAAACTCAGCTAGCCCCGATAGCAACAGTCTGTTTCAGTCTGCCACTTTTGAACTGAACCGTCATTTAAGGCCGAAAACGTTTAGTATCAACCCACCTATTCTTGTTAGATATTTATTTATAAAGTCAGCTATTAGTTATTTGACAATCTGTGAAGTTATAGTAAAAGGATATTTGCCGCTATGAAGCTATAAATGTGATATATGGAAGAAAGATGTGGTGGCGCCAAAATTTGGCACTAAAGGGTTCAAAACACCTGCAAGGGGGCTTTTATTTTTCAAAGGGTAAAACTCAGTTGAATCTTGATATAGCAAGGATCCCAGAAATTCTATTAAAAGTTGATAACTTCCACACAAGGGAGGAAAAGGGTTTAATTGATGTTATAAAATATGGAAGCCCCCTTAGGGTCACCAAGTCATCTCCTTGGCATCACTTCTTCTTGACTGAAAAGCGAACGGTTGATACTATGGTTTCTTCACTATCTTTTAAAAAATATATGAAGAACCAAACGACGAATTTTGATTTGCCCTTAACGTTTCGCTCGAAAGAAGCAGATAACCAAAATCTCATAAGGCCAGAAAATGTATTTTTTCACGTATCTTTGCATTCAGTATGACACGAAAAATGCTACAAATAAGAATGTGTCATTTGGAAGAAAACATCAAGAAAAACCAAGCAAAATGCAACTTTTAAGAGAATTATGTTCACCCCAGTTTTTTTTAAATTCGATGAAACCCCACCAGAAAGAAACTGAAATATCTACTCATTAGAAAGATGACGTCAATGTGTAGTAGTATTTAAAGTCATCTATCTAATTCATCCTTTTTAAAGAATACCAAAGAAGTTGGGTTGATTTACTTTTAGCTTTGCATGCCTTTTGTTTCAGCATTATTTCTTGTTTTCTAATGCACCTACGTTCGTTGGTGTGACTTGAGATAACAGTAGGGCTAAAGTAGAAAGCTAAACTAAACAGCCAAATTGTCTGGTTAGTAAGTTTTTAAGAGGCCAGCAGAGCAAATAGTCTAGTACCCTGGGTACCAGACTCACTTTATGTAAAATAACAGATTTGTGTAGAAACCTAAACCTTCATGTTTAAACGTTAGTTAACAACGTATGGATGAAATCTAGAATGGAGGACTGGGTCAAGTACCCCAATCTGAAAATAGCAATTGGGGGCACTTTTCAGCTTATGTCTCTTGAGCATCATTATCAACGTGTAAAATTAGCCCATTGTACCCATTTTTATGCTGGTACAACAATTTGCACAATTCAAGTCAAATACTGTGTTTAAGCCTAGAATATGAAGGTAAAACCCAAATTCTAGAACTAGGTTCCAGTAGCCCATTCTAAAAATAGCACTAAGGGGTGAGATTGTCAATTACATATTTTCGTATAACTTTTCAGTTTGTTGATAGAAAGGAGAAAGCTACATTTCATATTCATATAAAAGAGAGTAATTATTTAGAAAAGAATCGGCCAAGTCTAAAAATAGCGCTTGTGTCTTTTTGGCATCGTTATCAGCGTGTAAAAATAAACCAGCATACCCATTTTCATGCTGGTATCACAATTTGCACGATTCATGTTCTAACAGCCCAGACTAAAAAGGAAATGACTTAAACTCAAAAATTTTCTGGGGGAGCATGCCCCTTGACCCCCCACTAGTAAACAAAAATTCCACCACAAAAAGTATTTGTTCATTTTACTTTGTTACATGCATGTTTTCTAAAAGAAAAAAGTGTCTAAAAGATCAATATTTCATCTGGCGTCCTTAGGTTTCCCTCAAAGTACTAAATGCCCGCAACAGTTCCCTATTATACCTATGAAAATAAAATGAATTAGCCATTTTACTACAGCACGATTTCTCTTGTAATTTCCTCAAACGTAGCCTTTATACGTTTTTGAGAGTCGGTCCATTTCGTGTGTGTTAGTCAAACTTGTCTCGACACCCCCCTCCCCCCTCCAAAGAAATATGTTTGCCATTTGCGCCCCTGTGGAGATAATATATCATGGTAAAAGTCAAACCCTTGACATACTAAGATTTTTCTTTTGACCATGGCTTTATTGAGAATCTTGTTTCACATTATGTTACAATTTCCACATCGCCAAAGTTTCAATATGAAATTTATGTGAGCGAGAAAGCATAAAATGTTTACTTGAAAATGTTTTTATTAGTAAAGATTGACTAAATTTCGAATTTTTGTAAAACTATAGAGCATTTTAACTGTGACTGTGCAATAACTGTATTGATATTAGTACCCTGGATGCTAGAGCCACAGTGAAGAATCGGTCGGTGAAAGAGTGGGTAGTAAGACGAGAGGGCTCGGGCATTTCTTTCACTGAGGCATTGGTACCCAGAGTATGTTGTCAGAAATGTATCGATTTTAAATGCTGTCAATCCCCGTATTGTTTACAGCACTAGGAGAGCCCTTCCATTCATTCAAAAAGATTGCGTTCCTGCCACCCAAAAGAGCTCTATTGTTTATGAATTTACGTGCCAGTGTGATTCTGGCTCCGTATTATGCACAACCCAAAGATTGGGGGATAGGATAGAACAACATGTTCCTTTTAACATAAGAAGCAAAACTGTCCCTCCAAGAGAACAGCCTCTTTGATCTTATAGGTTTAGAAACACCGTTAAAACAAGCAATTCAGCAAACGGTCATTATTTTTTAGATAACCCATAAGTAATCATTTTTCACGTCTAGCACTATGAAGAACATGTATTGTTGTATTCTGATTTGTAGAATATTAATTAATTAATATTTATTCTACAAGCAATGTATTGTTACTCGAATGACACGATTTTAGTATTTGTTTCTAATTAGAATTTGCTAACACAGATGTAAAGCATAGTTGCACTTAACGTTAAAAAACAATTGACAAATTAAAATATTTCTACGCTAGTAGAAAATGGCAAGGATTTTATTGAATTTTTATCTTCAGGACTTAATTTTGTTTCATACAGATTCAAAACCAAATGATGCTCATTAAGGGCATTTGACACAGGTAAAAGTGACTTACAGCCACTCGACCACGAGCAGTTGACCAATCAAATTGCACACAGAGAAAAACAGGTGAACAATTTCCGTCTTTCTGCAAATCGGTGAAATCCTAAGAGCAGCGCACAGTGGTTTCACGTGAGCGGTTTTCAATACCTTTCTTGTGCGCGTGCTCTGATCAAATTGGCCTAAGTTATTTTTGGATTCGCTGTACTTATGCATGTCAAATAATATTAATCAAACGGAATGAGTGGTAAAAAGTTGCTTTGCTTCCAATTTTCAAAAATGGAAAGAGGCTCGGTAAGCGTATCGTACTTGAATGTCAAAATATCTCCTGCGCATGCTTGTACCGCAGACCTCTTTCCGTTTCCCGTCAATACCGTGAAGAGGAAATTCACCTTAACAATTCAGGTAAATCAACGGTAGGGCAAACGCTCCACGTTGAATTAAATTTTTCATTACATTTTCATTCAATTTTTGAACATTACCTGACATTTGAAACTGTGAAAAGTGGCAAAAGAGGAAAGTACAATTTTCAGGAAATAAATTCTCTAAAACAAAGTAAGTTAACAGAGAACAGTTCTGCAACCAGAATGTAATGGTATGCATTAATTGTGAATCGTACCTTGCTTGCTATTTTGCTAAATGCTTAAAAGACAAGAATTTATTGTGAATTGAATTAGCTGCTTTTGGAAAACATAGAGGACTCACTACTCTCTATCAAGTTTGCTGCCTCTACTTGACATTGAAGGTAAATGTGATGTTTCTGAAGAAAGAAGAAAGACTGGTATGAAATTTACAGAACGTTATTTGTCCCACAGAAAACAGAGTACGCATGATGATTATATTGAAGACAACTCTTATGATCTTCAAGTGCTCAGTTTTATAAACAATCTCTTAGCGGTAAGGAATTTTCTCAAGCTTTTGTTTAGAAAGACGGAGTTTGTTTTCATTTTAGGACTTATATTCAATAAGTAACATATTCAATAAGAAAGCGGCACTGATCTGACACACTCAACCGCATGTGCTCGCGTTTCTGATTGGCCTATTTTTATCCCAAATTGGGTATATATACTTTTCTATCTATGTTTTATTCTCTGAAAAGTGTCAAAAGAAAATCTTAAAAAAGTTCTAAAATGCTTGCTTTTTTCAAATCCTTGTTTAATTTCAAGTCTTAAAGCATGAAAATGCAATTTTGCAATTCATTTCATAAAATTGTTTGCCATTAACAAACGATGAAAATTATGTTCAAACAACAAATCACCTGCCTCATTTCAGCGATAGTTTACCTTTAGCGAGGTTTTCTAACGAATGTGTACGAAGATTGTCGCTGTGAAGACTAAGTTTTGTTTAAATTGTAGAAGATACACCTGCCACTTTGTCTGAGATTACTTTGGCTCACCCCCTGGACAAAAGATAATGGCTCACGATTTAATCGTTCTTTTGTTGTTCATCGTGTGAAGCCTTTTTATTTTATCGTGTTTCGGCCTTTTACTTGCCTGTAAGCCTACATTTCAGCATAAAAGCAGATAAAATTGACCAAGGTAAAACGCGAGCCTAGTCAAAGTTTCTCTGGAAAACAACAGAAGGCTTTGTGTACAGTTGTCATTTGGACTTGGTTTAAATACAATCTACTTTGCGAGCTGACTAATCAAAATCGAATAATGCTCTTTTCGGTAGCTTGGTTAGGCCTCATAGAGGAATAAGGAAACAGCGACTGCACTGTAGCGTGAAGCAAATCCAAGCAAGGAGATATGTTTAACCAAATGCAGACTCTCTTAAATAATGTCGGAATGGGTAAGTTGCGAAATATCATTTACATGCTTCGAATATCGGTAGATATTCACTTCTGCTTAGGTATGGCAAACTCTTTTCAGTGGTGATGCTCTTTATATTTTAAATGGAATTAACCAACTATCTCTGCCCAAAATATATTAGAAATTGTATGTCATGACACTAGAGTTCTGATGAGAATTAACTGAGGAAAGAGATTTGTATCGTTGTCTTTGCCAGCATCCAACAGGTCATTTCTAAACATAATTAGTAGGTCTCCGATGTGGTTATTGTCACAGCTAACACTCGTACCTTCATGTCCCATATCTACAACAACCTGTTGCTTAAGTAAAGAATTTAGCATTAAAACAGTATGTGAAAAATATAAGCATGCTCGTGAAGCAATATTTGAGCACCTTGTGATAAAGCTCAGAAGAACATTTTTAACAAAAGGATTGATAGACTTATATAGGCAAGATTGTTTATTAAAGACTTAAGAAAGTTTATGTACTGTTGATTTACAGTTTACAGGCAATGCTATAAATGTTATTAACGCTGTCAAGTAGGAAAAACACTCTAACGTTGCAAAGTTAGTCCTGGGGTTGATTTTTGGTAGTTAAAGTTTGCAAGATTCTTTAGAACTGCGGAATATTTGAGGTATTTCGATATATAACCCACCTTAACAACAACAAGAGAAGTCCACTTCAACCACATAGAGTCTTATTATTGCATCTTTCTTCCAACAATTTGCCAAATACTGCCATATCTATGTTTGCATTATGACGGATGCAGTATTTGCTGTCAAACATGAAGGCATTATCGATCCATATTGCTATAATGGAAAGTTCTAGACTTAGGACTTAAGATTTAAGAAGTAACATTTGACAAAATGTTGTCTTGGTCATCTCGGTTAACTTAAAGTACCATTGATTTTCAAGAGATCATTGAAAGTAAGAATGATACGCTTTTCTAAGAGATTTCTTTCTAGTTTTTTTAAAGCAAATATGCAGCTTTTCCATGAATTAAACAAGTAGCTTCTATTTAATTTGTTCAGCTATCAAAACATTTAGCTAACCTATATCTCAGTACTTGTAACATATAAGGCCATCAAGTGCATTTAAATAGGCTTTTTTCCTTAAATGACGTCATCAAGGCTCAAACAAAGCAAGAAAGTCCATCTTGCTTGTACTTAAGAAAACCGTATATCGTTAGAGTTTTGTTCTTTCTGGGAAGGCTGTCGTTGAGAAGAGAGCGTACTGTCTGAAAAATGGCCATAATAAAGATACTCAAACATTTAGCAAACCGTGAATTAGGGTTAGAATGTATTATCGTCCAAATGTTTGTGATAATGAAGTGTGAATCTGTTTTTTCCTGACTTTTAAATGCCAAGCGAGGTGGAAAATTTCCATCAATGTTGATTATGAAAGTAAAAACACAGAAATTCTACTGAAATGAGATTAAAGTAGTACCAATAGACGTCAATCTAATGAACATCTATTGTTTCTGAAGTTCGAGATTTCTATCTTTATTTATCTCTCTATCTAACTATATTAAAGAGAGGAGCACGCTAGAGGGGGGTTGGATCGTGGGTGAGGGATGGTTGATTGCTTTCAGATTGCTCAATGGATAAAAGATTCGCTGATTTGAGAGAAGAACTAAGATTTACGGATCTTGATGAAGAAAAGCTCATTGATGTTGAAAAATCAGAAAATGTCCCTCGATCATTCTTTTTATTCGAAGTTGGTTTGCAGATGGTCTGTCTATTTTATAGTTTTCCATTTTTGGATCACAACCTATCGATAAAAGCTAAAATTGGTAGAGTTTTTTAACTTCTTTTCGCCGTGTATATTTTGTATCAGTTCCCCTGCTTAGTGCAAGTACTCAAATGTGCCACTGCCCTTCATAATATATGCAACGTGTCTAAATAAAATGTATATTAGTTCTAAGATATTTCAGAACATGTAACATGTAAACATTATTTGTTTGGGTCTAAGATTTTTTAGTTCTTTAGCAAAGATAAATCTCTATGTTTCAGCCTGGTCTATGCATTTTAATTCTACAACTCTGGAAACTCAGCATAAACAGTGTATGATCTCAGTTGCAAGGTCTACCTTAGAACTAGCATCCCTGTCAAATTCCATTTAATTGGGTTGGTACCAAAAAGCCACAAACGTAGCGTGAGCAATATATACAGCATTATAGGCATCAGTATCAACTTATTTTATTATCAGCGGCAAAACACGGCTTGTCTACAAACTCAAAGTAATCTATTTTGATGAAAGGTGGGGACCATAATGCTAAAAACAACAATATCTAGACACAGACACAACACCCTTGCCTTTTTTAGACGCGGAGATCACAACATTGCAAACTAATTCCCAATAGAATATTTTAATGCATGCGAAGGTTTCACGTTTTTCTGTATACTGGTGATGACATTTTGAGTATAAAGCCCCTCAAATAAGCTAAAGTTTTGGAAAACCTTCTTATCTCTTTTGAAATCATTCAGATACAAGAAAGGCTTATCGCAAGACCATTATTTCAAGCATATATTATTTATGCAAGCTCAAGTCGTCGGCATACCCCCTTTGTAACTTAAATTTACACTGCATTATGTTCTCTAGAGAAGATTTTGACAAAATAACAGGTGCCTCATTCAGTTATCCTTAAACATATGTTAAGAAGAACTAATTTAAGAACGAAGTGCAAAATTAAAAGGCGTGTTAGTGACTAGTTTGGAATCTTCTATGGTTACTGTTAACACCCTAAAAACAGACAAAATGACTCATAAATAAGTCTTTAGCCTATGATCTTTTCTAAGCAACAACCGGGCGGAAACGTTTATGAAGATGGTAGGAGCAATGTGTTCAATTCTGCTCAATGAAACTTGCTATTATTTGCAAAGATTTTATCGATCACTAATAAGCAATTTAAAGGCAATCATTGAAAAATGTTTGAAAAATTTAAGACATTAGATTGTTACAAACCTATTTTTCAATAACGTTATCATGTATGAGTTGGTTTTTTCCTATGTAAGAGATAAGAAATTATAATACTGCATATTAATTATCTGAAAAGTCAATGTTTACATGTTATCTTCGGCAGCCATCTTTTCTACTCGCAATGTTTATTTTGATGGCATGGATTTTGATACTAATCAGATCAATTTCGATTTTCGTTCTTACAAAAATGCCTGCGTTACAAAAATACTGTTTGAGAAAGTTGCTTTTCCAAAGATTGCTAAGTAGATCAACAATACTAAAAAAGGCTTTCTCCACTTTTGAAGGGCGTAGTCAAGATTCTTTTTATCCATCCCAGCTTTTTCAGGCTGGTGACGCCACTGATCATGCTCACCATTTGACGTAGGCCACTGTCAAATTGTTGAGTCAAAGAAAGTATTGCAAAAACATTTGTAATATTGAGCAAAGAAATGGCTGAGCAAGGTCGGCCTTTTGAATAAAAGATTTTATCTAATGAATTAAAACTTTAACAATAAAATTGAACTTCCCAGCTGCTTCAGAATTATGAACTCGTGTCTTCTGAACTTGCAGTCCAATAGGGCAATGAAAGGTTTTTTTCACTGGTACATGATTCGCTTTTTTTGTTTATGTAATTTTTGAAAGTATACAAGATAGTATCATGTCGCATAATGCCATTTGGATAAAGAATATAAAAATGCATTTACCACACAGCTTAGCCAAAATCAAAGTAGATATCAACAAAAACCCAAGAAAATCGTTGAAAACTGTTAACATAAACAACTGAAATATAACAAGAGCTATTGTTTAAAATTCTCTAAACCCTCAGTGGACCTAGGCCGACTGAAAATCAAAGTAGGCAGAGAACGCTCTTCTTTAGTGTACGTGTTATTGAGAATAGGAAAGGTGTGCATAGCATCTTTAACAGTTGATTTTAAGGTGGTGTAGGCGTGGGTACATCTCAGTTGAATAAGATGATTTAGGACTTGTTTGCATGAAGTGGGCTAGTCCACTTGAGCGGGGTAGTTTCCACAGGTGAGATCGTATTTGCAAGCGTTTACATGATAAAGCAATCCATCTCACTCAGGTGGGATGGCCTCTTATTGGTAAAATTTTAAATGAGATTTTTTTAGCTTTTGGCGCCAAGGCTGTTAACATCAGTATTCCTCAACAATGACTAATAACAATTTGATTCCTTTTCTGATTGTTAAATTTTTCGGTATGCTCTGTTTCGTACTTCAGGTTTGGGTCATTTCAATCTTTTGAATATGCTTCAATTAAGCAAACGTAATTACTATTTTTCAGCGGAAGACTCCAAGCAGTTGCTGTCGATTCGTACGACAATATGAGTTGGCTTCGTTTGGCGCTAACTTCTTTACGCACGCGCAATGACATTCAGTGAGTGGGCTAACCAACCTGATTGCGTTTACATGTATAATTTCCATCCCACCTGACAGCGATCCCACCTGCCTTTCTCGCGGATCTTACCTGAGCGGGCTGGCCCACTTCCCATGTAAACGCAATTACCGGAAACAAAGGATTGTATAGATAGCACGGATCCCACCTGAGCTATGCAGCCCATTCCATGTAAACAGGCCCTTAAAAACAAGAAGTTAAGGTAATGACAAAAAGCATGGGTACTAACGATATCTTAAAAGGCTGGAATATTAAAAAACTTCTGAAAGATTATTTTTTCTAGAGGGGGCTTTACATTTATGTTATTATAACTGAATCATATCAGATCAGGTTGCGAATTTCGTGTTAATAGAAATAACTTGAATGCAAAAAAACAAAAAGCTCCATAAGTCAAAGGTGAAAAAAGATAAGATGATCCTTTCACAGTAGAAGATAAGTAGTCATTAATATAGAAGCTTGTAAGCTTATGTCGCGTAAAGGCTGCACGCAGGCAAATGAAGTCTCGAAGGATTGAGGTAATATGTTTGTGGTAGACATGCACTGTTTTCAACATCGACTACCATTAAACTATTAACAGTCAAAACAAAGTTGGTTCGAAAATATTATAAATGTTCATATCAACATAATTATATAAACTTGTGAAGTCAAAACAAAGTTGGTTCGAAAATATTATAAATGTTCATATCAACATAATTATATATTGTGAAAATAAAACTCGACAATGTAAGAGACAGCTGTTAATTGTGCTTAAACTACTGGTCACACCTAGGAATAGTATCTCATTGTTAAAAATCTTGACTCTAAACATTTTACATGGATGATTTGGTCAACTTGGAACCAAGTACATTATTATAGTTGAACCTTGTTGGTAAGGGCCTCCAAGATAGAGATGGGTAAAAAAATTGCCTGACTTTGCAATGTCCGACCAATTCGGACATGGCCTTTTACATGCATTAGGTACGAAAATTCTATTGAAATCAACTTAATAGAAATCCGAGTTATCCTGATACGACTCAACAGGAACCAACTGTATGTTATTAGGAGTAAAATTACAGCGCGTGCAAATTAATTGCATTTGTATTCAGAAAGAAGTAAACTCCTGTCTAAACACCAGCCATTCTTATATGTATTTAATTGCAATAAACATCATTAGTAGCCTGTGAACAGACGCTGATGAGAAAAATTCTAAGAAAAAGTTTACTTTGTTAGTTTACAACTGAAGGTCTGCACGCAGACTAAATTCTAGCTTCTCAAATGGTGAAGATTGCTCTTAGAGCGTACTTAAAGACTGCTGGTGAAACGTCCTTTTTGATCGTCGGCAGCAATAGGAACTTAATGACTACATGCAGCTGCTACTTGCGTCATCTTTTATCAGCAGCTATGTTCAAAGCCTTGTTTTTGCGATATTAATGAAAGAGGGAAACATCATATCATATTTTGAAAATATTTTTCAAAAGAGCATGCCATGAAGAGAAAGAATGAAAATTTGCGGGCCATTTGATAAAAACGGCAATCAAAACGATGGAGCAATGTTATGTAAATGAAGAGCATCTTACTTTAAACGAGTGATTGCTTGTGCATCTTGTACGCAGAATTGTAGCTTTATTAAGAAGCATATTCAATTAAAAACCGAAAACAAATTTTGACAGAGCTTCCGACTCTTCTATCTGTTTAAAACTCAAAGTCTCCTCTGAAAGAAAGGTTTTCCAATGTATTCCAGCTAAAAAGTCATCTTATAACTTTCATGAAGCTTTTTATGGCCACTTGAATTTTGGTTCACTAAAAATTTTGCTGGAGTGCCGCCATTTCTGCTTCAGCCTGTGCAAAACCTTTGCTTTCTAATTGTATAATGGCGAGCTGCAACTAGTGTAAACGAACCAAAGGGTGGCAAAGCATTTCTGTCAATATAGGTATTTAAGTAGGATGAGTCTTTCAAAGTTAGCAATAAACCAAATGATTTTTAGAGAATCTTGAAGCAAGCAAAAAAATATTTCCTAGAGGACACTGATTTCATTAAATGTTTTTTCTGTAAAACACAAAGGCAGGTCCTTTTTTGAAGGCAGGTTAGCTAACAATGAAAATATCACTGGGAAACCGATTTTAAGCCAGTAAACACACTGAACATAGCTGAAAATCTTTAATTTTTTGATCATCGATAACCCAATGGAAATAGATGATAATCTTAACAAGAAGCCTGAAGCATAAAAAGTCATCCTTCTGAAACTTGTCATTTAAAAGCTCTTTGCACAAGACGATCACATGAAAGAAATCAACCAAACGCAACGTATGACACAAAGTTTACGTGTACAACAAATTTAATGTCTTTAAAGCGAAAGTAACTCATCAATATGGTGCTAGCCTGGTGCTAGTCAACTGATATTCCGAAGAATATCAAAATAAAAGGAAACTCTTGACTGCAATTGTTAGTGTAAAACTGTATATCTTTTTATCGCTATAAGCCATCGTCTGAATTATTGAAATAAAAAGAAATATCAAAGATAATTTAAAATATGCCTATTCATCTAGCGTGAGATTCATTTGTGAAACGATACTATTAATGCCTTCTGGCTGTATTCCGCCAAAAGCCAGAAGAGATTATCTGTTGTTCAGAGACACTAAATAGAAAATGATAAATACTTTTGACAAGGCTCATGAGTGTAGACAGCTTATTTCTTTACAACACATGCAGGCAACAGGTTATAAAATTTCAAAACAATAACATTGACTGTGAGTAAGAGGTCTTGTGCTTTGTGTTTCAATATTTTAGCCAGATGTTAAGAAGATTCTATTGAAACCAGAATGCACGTTTCTACCACATTGATTCATATTACTGGTTGGCGGCCTAAATTTTCTTTGCTATGTTGTGCAAAACGTGAGTTTGATATCATTATTTGCTCATATACTTTATAATTTATGGTTCCCTAGCACGTGTTTTGCAGAGTAGCTACATGCTTTCAACTAAGATAGCCTACAAAATGACAAAATCTAGAATTGAGATTTTCTGGAATCATGAAAGATCGTTCAGACATTTTTCAGGTTAGAAAACACTTTCAAAAGATTCTTTGGAAAGTTTAAAACTAATTAAACGTAGAGGATGTACATTAATTGCATCGCCAGAAAGTGGGTGTGAAACCTTCATCAGCATTGCATACAAGGGTTGGTGATCATTCATAGTCAATGCAATTGCTTTCAACGTAACTGAATAAGATAAACCTTTTAATTCAGTAAGTGGGGCAAGTTGGCCTATCAGAGTCAAACTTCGAGAAAATAAAATGATTTTAAAGTCAGCATCAAGGTTGCAGGTTTACCTACTTAGACGTTTAGAAGTTTAGAATATTTTGGTGTTTCCAAAAATATTTAGATGTATTTTTGTGCAAACCAGTTTTTACAGTAAATCTCTTTTTCGAGAAAGTGTTTTCATGCTTGCCTTTTTATGTAGAAGAATGCAACACGCTCTTTGTAGTACTCTTTTCAGCTCAAAGTACCAAATGACAGCTGGACTCTCGTTGAAGGCAAGTTAAATAAAACACTAAAAACTCACTCTGCAAAACATGCAAACAATTGTATTTTGACTCAACGAAGAAAAAGGACAAAGAGCTGAAAAATAGTCAAACATCTAATTGTGTTTTGAATAGGGTTTTGTTCAAATTCAGGGTAATCAAGAAAAATAAAAGTCTCTTTTAAATATTTTATTAGTTGAAACGCCGTCTCATGTTACAGAGAGCTAAACTAATTAATACACCCACAGATCTGTTTATTCCGTTAGTTGTGGTAGATCTGCAGTGTTGTATAGACGATATCATAGAGCAGTAAAGGCGATTTGTGCAACACTAGCACTTGAGAGCTATGATAAGAAATGCTATTAAAAAGCAGTAGCAAGTCTTAACAGAACGGGTAACAACGAGGAGAGAACACGAGAAGTTTCAATCGTCTTGTTTCTCCACCTAAATTTATTCTCAAGATTGGGCGAGAAACAACAGTGGTTATGCGCGATGAGAGATTCAAGAGACAGCTATCAATGGAGGGCTAATATGCAGAGCTAGAAATCCACTCCTTCGAGCACAAATAAAAAGTTGCAAATTGGTGGTAGAGCAATACAAACTTCTGTATCGCAGAACTGGTATCTTAATTTGCAAAAAAAAATTGACTGTCTATTACCTGAATCGAAGAGTTGGTTTCCTCTGCTTCTTCTCGACACATTCTATCACTAGCTACATCTGAGGGTGGAAACCTCTTCGCCGTTTAGAATTGTGTTCAGCACTCCTAATTTCGTGACATCATATCCAAGACACTTCCAAACGATCATCTTAGTAGCAAACGTACAGAAACATTCCTTGTTCAAGCCGGTTTAAACTGTTTAAACTGACAATACAGAGCAACAAAGAAACAGAGGTTTGGCTGGTACATAGACAAACAAGAAGGTTTTAAACAAAAAGACAGAGAAGCTAATATTTGTAATCCAATTTGACTGAAGGATCAAATCGAACGACAAAATAGTCGATCGAAGAAGACATTTGAGAAGACTTTGTCAGTCACCAATGAAAGGTTGCTAGTAGTCTTCTAAATACTGTCGATTTTTCTTGACAAAAAGTAAAATTGGACTACTTTGCTACATTTAGAAAGCCAGCCTACAAAAGCAGATTTTCTAAGCGAGACAATTGAACAAGGCAGTCGTTACTAAGCCACAGAAGGTGGACAGAAGGCACGAATTATCAGCCTGATCGATTGTTTTTTATTCAAAAGCTTTTAAAAATCACAAAGAATATCAGTTAAATAGGAATTGTTCCAGGCGTATCAGTAAGAGTTAGACTGCTAGGAAGGCAGCAAACGATGCAGCAAGTGTGAATTAACCAAGCTTCAAGGCTGTGGAAATGCTTGAAAAGCTTCTTTGATGATAACACTAGCAGATGCAGAAATGATATAAAGTTCTTCGTAAGCAGTCTACAAAGAGAGAAGGTCCAATGTTTATTGTACAAAGCATGGATCACCGTCTGCGTGTAGCCCAAAGATGTAGTGACAATCTAATGTGATTGAAAGCCTAAAGTATCATTGCCATCGACCGCGTTCATCTGTAAACATAACGAAATAACTGTACACAGAAGAAATTTCGAAATATATCCTAAAGCAACAGGTATATAGAGATTTGCCTAGCCAACATATGCAGAGGATACTTCACAAAATATATTGACCCTTTGAAGAACTATATGAATATTAGTGGAAAAATATTGAAACCAAGAAAATTTTGTAGATTCAGAAAGCTGATTCGTATAGAAACAGTTGGAAAGTCGCATTTTTGGATAGCATCCTTACTCTAATATCATCTAGATAAGTGAAAGTATTGATGCTTACAAGAAATGAGCTGGCAAATTAAGTATTTCAAAAATAGCACGCTGACCCAGGAAAAATACATTTAACTGGTACATAGCCAAAACAAGCAGAAGATCAACTGAAATTGTATCACAGAGAAGAATACGGACTATTTGTTACGGTTTTTTAAGACATTGGCCGTCTAGTTCAAAAGCTTGGAATTTTTTACGTACGTGAAAGGAAGAAAACTGCTTCAAAAAAATTCCTTTCTTACTCAAATGCTAGTGTCTATTTGCAAAACTTTGCTAACAATAAAACCACCTGTTGCAAATGAAACTTTGTTTTAACCGTCAATAAATTGAAAAAGCGCCACGACAATAATAGCCATGGCAACGTGTTTATTCGACAAATTACCAGCATCGACTCTTGTTTGATGCAAAGTAACCTGACAGATCGGCGTGATAAAGCAAAGCTAGATTGTGAAAGAACTGGGCTCTTGTTATTGAGCTGACGTCATTTGCAGAAAGGATATCGCAAAGTGGATTAATCATAGTGAAACACAAACCTTAGTACTGACATTGCAGAAGTAGTTTAACTGAAAGTCATTGCGAACGATCGAACGTAAATCAAATTAATTGATTTACAACACAAACGTTTTGTTTTATGGACAATGATGGGAGACGTCTTTATAATCAGTGCCTTATAAGGAAGATTTGCTTAGATCAGACAAAAGAGAGTAAATTTGTTCAAAGACTTGCTACTGCTTCAAATCGATAGATAGTGCTATGGTTGCTCAAGAATAATATGCAAATAAACAATAGCTACAAACGTCTTTTGTAAGAGTATCGGTGTGTTAGCTACTAATTTAAGATGGGGAATACGTTGGATTCATTGAGTGGTAAAACCTTAGATTCAAGTTGTGATACTACTATCGTTTCAGGCACTCCACAGCCAGATATTGGCAAGGACCCGACGCTCGATAAAAGCAACGAATCTCCTTATCGAAATGGATCAGACCAACCCAACCATGGCAATACAGTCAACCAACGACAACAACAAGAATACGTTAACTCACAGCAGATCGACTATGAGTCTCCGCAAAGGCTCTCCCACATGCCGTATGGAACGCAACATGATGATAATGGTTATGTACAGATGGGTAGTCCCCATCACTATTCAGACCAGTCTACAGACAACGAATCCTGCACGTCAGATGCTTATAAAAGACTTTTGAACCGAGATTACCTGTCCCGATATGAGATGCAGCAGAGTCCTTTGAAGCAGCTCACGAAAAATGCAGGCTATATGGATGAATACATGGGCAGTGCAGATTTGCATACTGCTTTGCTAGATTTCAACATAGATTATACCCTGCATGTTGGCAAACTCGCGATTTATCTGAAGCGTTTGAAGCTAACATTTTCCCACGTTGAGGACTTTGTATCAGATAAGAAATTGAAAGGCAAAATTAAATGTGTCTTGTGCAACCCTGCAAAAAGCCAGAAATTCACATCTGGGCTCTTTGAAGCAACGAGCAAAGATCGGTATACTCTTCAGGCCGATTTTGAAGATGTTTTCGTTTACTACCTGTTTCCAAAAAATCAAGTAGACAGTATGTCACTTCAGTTTAAGGTTTATTGTAAGAAAATGTTTCGTGACGTGTTAATTGCCGAAAGCTTCTTGCATTTGAGTGAGATTGATTTGAAAGCAGAAATGCTACCCATAAGTATGCCGTTCCTTGATATCACAAAGGTGACAAAAGATGGGCGTGCTAGAAGTTCTACCAAAAGACCTGTTATTGTACCAACAAGCGCCAAACTAGAGACATTGATTTCTCTTCAGTATATCCCGGAACGCTCACTGTTGGTTGTAGACTTACGGCAGAGCACAAAGCTTGGAAGACTTCGCGATCTGATGAATAGGGAAATAATTGTTCAAGCTGAGCTGATTTCATCAACATGTGAATGCGTACAACGTAAAACAACGTTTTTGAAAATGATTTCGGACAACCCAGGATGCAATAAACCCTTGGAATTTAGCCTGAATCAGGAGCAGTTGTTTCTTTACACGCTGATGCTGAGTGTCAGTTACTCAGCTGTTCGATTAGGCCAACAAGAAAGGATTGGTTGGATCTCATTTGGAAGACATTGCAGTGGTCAGGTCGAGGCTCAGCATTGGGAAGAAATGCTACAGAAGAGTTGCGTAAGCGAGGCTGCAATGCAGTGGCATTGTCTTTGCGATCACCATGAGCCCAAAAGCAGCTCGTTAATGAAACTCTTCAAATAAAGGTGGGTTATTGAAAGAAACTTTATACAAGTGAAACGCAAATTCTCTTTGTTGTGCTGACTATCAGGCGTAAGAAAGATCATCGTCTGTGGAGAACAAATGCTAACAGAAAATACTATTGACTTTGTTGGTGGCTGATATAGTAGAAATTCGACGTAAAATATCTTAAAAAGAGAAATTGTTACTGAACAGATTCCAAAATTGATTAAAGTTAAACTATGCCTTGGAATATTTGTAACAAAGATTATTGCGTATTCTGTTTTTCAACAAGTTAAATGATTAATGCTTTCCCGATCAGTGCACTAAAGTTTTAACTGTTAAAGATTAAAGAGGGTTAGGAAGGCCCAGTTCTTTCAGGATTGACTAGAATTATGCGTTCCAGGACGTGATCTACTGATCCTTTTGGATTCCTAATCGTTATTGAACTATGGTTTCCGTCCAGAGTAACGTCATTGCTTTATAATGTCACTCACAGCGAGAAAGCAGATTTTAAATCCCCCCTGAAAAACCTTTTTGAACCTCTAGCCTCAGAGGCGTGTTCAACTAAACTTGAATATTGATAAAATCAGTGCTTAGGTAAGCAAGTAAGCACAACACTCGATTTTGGAGTTCATTTGCATTGATTACCCCATTCTGAGTGACATCAACACAAGACTTTTTGTAAGGACATAGCAACTTTAGTTGCCAAGCTATATGAAACTTAGATGCTCGTTCTTTTCTTAAGAAACATTCCAAAACCATACCAAAAAAATTAAAGACGTATCTATATAAGATTTCAGGGGCAGATCATCTGAGACAGGCCGTGGGGTCGATGTCTCTTTCTAACTGTCCACGATTTCATTTTGCAAATTGTCTTCAATATGAAAAGTGGTTCTCTAAGCACCCCTGATATCACATTTTTCAAAATGCCTGTGCCCAAGCAGCCTAATTTAAAAATTATCGCAGTCTCAAAAGCAGAAAGAGACTAATGATTTTGGCAGAAATAGAGCCCTCATATCCCTTTTCGGCATGGTAGATCACAAAATCATATGCAAAAAAGCGACTAGACTGTAAACTTCTAAAAAGGTCTAAAACACTGTTTTTAGCTACTCTTTCTATATGTTTTGAATTATCAAGACAATTTTTTGCCTTTCCTTCCGTAAGCATATCACAAATTATCTAAAAACTCTTGACAAACCTAGAAAGATGAAAAATTTTGTACACCAAGCAGCTTGATTTTACGAGATCTGTGCAACAAACTATTCATCAAAGAATACTCTAATAAAAGCATTATTCGGTTCCCAGTAATTTCTTTCCATACTTGGTCGATCCTAAATTCCTCGCGTTTTCACTTTACATGACCTGGCAAGAAATCATTGTGTCCTTAAATTCCAAATAATTGTGTCCTTTAACATACCCTCTATAGCGTAACAGTGGCTTGTGTAAACTTTGGGATCGTAGTCGGAAAGCATTTTCCGTAGTTATCCTTAAAGTATCTTGGTTTAGTTCAAGACTAAAAAAACAGCTGATCTTTGTAAAAGTTTATGTTGTAAATGTAAAATGAATCGATATTACAGCATACTCTCGTTAATTTGGACCTTAAAGGGACCGAGCAAAAGTGTAATACCGTAATGCCTCGAATAAGCGATCCCTTCGAATAAGCGCCCACTATAGAGGGTGAAATTATTTAATAAGCGCCCCCCCCAATAAGCGCCTACCCCTCGAATAAGCACCCATCCTTCAGAAACGGGCGATTATTCGAATTCTATTTATCATTATTAAGAAAGAATGAAAGCAAGTGCTTCAATTGAAAACAAATTCATTTTTTTGAATTACTTCCAAATATATTTTTAAAATAAGCGCCCCCTCGATTAAGCGCCTCTCTCGATCAAGCGCCCACCCTGGAGCCTCAAAAATTGGTACTTAGTACGAGGCATTATGGTACTTAGCGGGCGTCCTACTTATCCGAATGCTTGAAAAGGGTAAGCAAGTTCAAGGGACCGGGAAAATCTGTACTAAATAGCGGGCGTCCTACTTAACGAGAGTATACTGTACATAAAATTTGAAATATAAAACATGTATATCAGAATACGTAATGTCACTCACTTGAGACGATATTGAATAAAGCCTCGTCATGTGCGACTGACTGTCTTGTTTGGTTTTTGTTACCAGCTCTGCTCTGTTGATAAAAAAAATGATCAGACCATTTCGGTTGGCCCTTCTCATTAGTTTGAGATCGTCAGGAGAAAATTGTGGAGAGGAGAGGTGAGTTGTGCGGTATTACTGGGAGCAGTCTGACATCATAATTGCAAGAACTCATTTTGTCCAAGATTTGCTTTGAAAAATTGGGTGTGATAAGAGGGCTTAATAACATAACTTGACTTATCCGTTGTTACAAGCACTGGTCCGTGACGTAAGTTGTCAGCAATACACTACGGACTCCATGACAGAAAATTTTGCAAAGCAACTATTTTGTTTTGCAAAGCAACTATTTTGTTTTGCAAAATTTTGGGCCCTGAACCTAGGATTTTAATCGTGGAACTTATTGAAAATATTTATAGAAGGAAGGAACTGTTAAAACATCTGTTATGAAATTCTAGCGATTTCCTTCCTTTTCTTCTTTTTGAATTTCCGAAATAAGGAGAGAGTATTGCCCATCCCGCACCTCTGGCCTCTGCAGCACTCACTTTTCCAGTCTCTTGTCGATAATTTTGTAGCGTACATCGGTTGATATCGATTGATATGGGTTGTTCTTGTAACATTGTTCAAAATGTTGGTTAGTATGTTGCATACGTCTTTTCGCTAAATGCAGTTGAAGGACATCTCTTTCTCACTAGCTAACTTAACTCGTGACTAAGTTAAATAATTGTACTTGGTTAGCTCGCTAGATTAAAATAATTGCGTTGCTTCGACATCAAGAAAGTCTCTTTAAACCGTAAAAAACAAGTACAGTAGAAACAAGAATTTCAAACATTTCTTCTACTGGTAAAACACAGAATAAAAAAAGCTTTGGAAATCTATGTTTGTAGGAGTATAGTTTGGCACTAAGTAGCTTTAGGAATCAGTATTAGGAATCAGTATCAGTATAGCATCAGTATTTGAACCTAGGCCGTAAATTTGGCATGTCTGGATTCATGGCGACATTATCTCGGACTCATAACAAAGAACCCGTATTCTTGTAAATATAGCAGTAGCAGGATCTAGATATAACCCAAATCAGAACAACAGTTTAAAAATAATGATGATTAAATGAAATTTAATCAGAGTTAATTTCACGAGGGGCTTTTGAGCGTTAACTAAATCGCATGAGATTGTTGTTAATACTATTTTGTGCCACGCTTCCTCGTGGTTTTCTTGTACCTGCTCTACTAGTTTAGGGGCAATGCGGGGAGTCTTTCGGCCTCCTGTGAATTTGATTGTATAACTAGGGTAAGATGTGTGTTTCGTGGCGTTTTCATTCCCTTGGTTAATCTAGGGGTATTTAAGGTTTTGGCATAGCGTGGGTCTCATCTTGCTTGGTGAAGCCACAATTCAACTAGGCTGTTTTATTGTATTTTCCCAGCCCTCCCTCCCTCAATTTGTTTCTTTATGTTTAGTGCCTTTTCAGTATAACTTTGCGTGTTGAGTTTCTTTTATGGCATCGTTAAAACCTCTCATACCTTTAGGCATCTTTTATGCTTCTAAGAGTTTCTGATGCTATTAGGTAGGACTAGTGCATCGGCTATTAGTGGGGAAAAGAGGCTTTTCCTGTCCATACCCTCCCAATTATCAATCATATTTGGGGGTTAATGTATAACTTCCCTAGTAACCTCTTTAAGGTAGGTTGAGCGATTTGCGCCGATGCAACAACGGCCCAACTCGCTCTCGATGATGTGGGAACGTAGCCTCATGACTGACCTTTCTGATGTCAATGGCAGTTTTTCTGAGGGAGCTTTATGCCCTTCATATTGCATTGGTATTTCATTCCCGAGTAAGTAAATTAATAATAGAAAAACCAACCTGTGATAACCAAAATTATGGATACCTCGAATCTCCAAGCCTTTCTCATCAGTTATATCAAAAGAGGTTACAACGACAATTACTTGAAGACGGTATGTTCGAATTGCCTATGTCCCAAGTGAGATCAAATAAAGCCACTTGGGATCTGTCTAAGAATGCTGCCAGCAAGAAAAATGGATTTATCACATAAATGTACCACCAAAATTCTCGGAATACTAACGTTAGCTTTGAAGATGAAACTCTCTTGTTCCACCTTGAGACAACGGTTGTACTGGGAGAGGGGTAAGGAGAGTTGGTGGAAGAAGAGGAGCTGGAAAGAGAAGCGGAAATAGTGAAGGCGAGAGGTAGCAGTATTATGTTGTTTTCGTAAAAGACAATTTAAGAATACTTAACATAAATAAAGAATACGTTCTTAGCAAACAAGACGTCGAAAAAAAGACGTCGAGGACGCAAAGAACTGGGGGTAGCGTCGGTACAAAGGCAAGATGCTAGAAGCTGATGAGTGATGGGAGGGTGATGGAACATTCCTCGGTCATTCCCCCTGCTGATGGCAAAAAAGCATGCAGAATAATAAAAAAGTTGAATGCGCATACTCGTTCTTGTTTAAAGTGACTGTCTTCTCGCTAAGTCTCAACGTTTTAGAAGAAGAACTTACATGTTGGTTGAAATAAGATCAAAAGAGTGATTTTGTGACACTCTCTCAAAATGCTGGAGCGGCCATATATCATAAATGCTCATTTTAAGTAAAGAAAATCGATTCGAGAAAGAAGAATATTTGAATGAAATTTCAGGTTTTAATAAGACAAACCAATTTACAAATCAATGCAACGGAAGTGAAGTATTTCACAAAAAAGTTAACCTCGAGTTGGTTACCATAACACTTACACATACAGTCGTTTGTCTCAACTCATTGTTCAAAAAAGCAACAAGGAAGTTAACTATTTATTTATTTTTATGCCATGTTCACTTAATAAACGCGAAACGAAGATTAAAATGGCTATGTTTCATAAATACCAGTTATACAACATTTTTCAAGACAAAAACTCAGTCTAAATTTCTACATTTTACTTTTTTCTTTTAGAACGAAGCCAGTCTTCAATCTTCTGCTTGAGGTCAGGCTCTATAAATAAAATATAGATAAATATTACTAACTGAAAACACTGACAGGTAGAGAGCGACGTACATGAGAAGGTGACTTGATCAATGCTTGAGCTTTCATACGAAGAGCATAAAGGGCATGTTTGTCATTGTTTTGAAGGATATTTTTTCGTCTTGCAAACAAGGATGCATCTAATTCTGATTATATCAACTCATAAAGCAGTAAAAATACGAAAAAATGGACATAAATAACCAAATTCTACTGTAGGGTTACAGCTTTTTTCCCAAATCAAAAATGAAAACCAACGAAAACATTTCAAATAAATGCTCAGTGAAAATAACATGAGCTTATTTTTTCCACAGGGGATAATTTTTAGAGAGGAGGGGAGGGGAGGGGAAGGGGGTGGGGATGGTCAGAGGCAAGGCAAAGATCAGTTGCAGCCCTCTTGGTAAAGAACAGCGTATGCCACACTGTAATATGATGACACACCAAAATGATGAAATATATGAACTATAAATTTTACCTGGAACTAGCATATCTACAGTAAGACTTTGGCGGTTAAAAGGATCAGTAGAAGAGTTGAGAAGGTGTCTAGTGATGATATGGCGATCCATAATGATGCCGCTTGGTAGGCGCACTGGGTTTTCCATCACAGTGTCCATGAGTGGATCTACAGGAGAAAAATTACAAAAACATTACATGACATTTAAAGAGACTGAAACCTCCAAAACGGAAATCGTACTTTGGACACCACAGGTAATGGTTTGTCGACATTTTAGAGAACAGAACCAAATCTTATTGAAACAAAAAATGACAGTGTCTAATGTGAGCCATCCTAAATAATTCCTTCTAGTCAACGAAGAATCAGCCCTTAGCAATCTTCCCTTTCTCAAAATATATTCTCATGACTAAAATATTTCTCCTAGTTAGTATTCCGAAGAAGATTTCATTTCAATGACTGTTTTAAAAACACGCCTACTATGTCTAAGACATACCCTGCATATAATCATCTTAATTTCAGTGACAGTTCAAAAGATGTACCATTAACCAACAACTCCCCTGTCATTATAAACCGCTAGCTATTTACAAAAATAGTAAAATTGTTTCTGTTATTGAAGCCTGGTTTTTATAAAATCTTTAGCAGATCTTTCATGTAACAACTCTTGCTTATTTGTAAACCCCGATTAGGATGCCAGCAGAAGTAAACGCCAAATGTCTTATTCAGACATTGGTCTTAGATGTGCAATGATGGCTCAGTGGTTAGGATCACAGACTATATGATCATCATCGAGTGTGAAGGGAGTCGCCAGTTCTCTATCATTACGGGGATAGGAATCACAAGGTTTCGTTCCATCTAGTGGAAGGACCAGGTCGCTGATCAATAGGCACAAACAAGCAGTTTCCTATAATGTACTCGCAGATGCTAGGAAGAAACAAACACAAATTCAAATAAAAATACTATACAAATTGTTATTTGCATGAACTCTTCTAAGAATTGCAAAGGTAGGCATCATGATTGCATTATTGCAAAGGTAGGCATCAACGATCAAAATACTCAAAATAAGTCCTGTTAAGTTACCACAAGTAGTGATTATATCGATTAAAAATTGTATTGCTTCTTAAAAACATGCCTAGTAGCGAATACTATTGAGGAGTACAGCTTTAAAACCGCAAAAGATAATAACACAGTTGGCTTCACTTTTTAATTACTTTCTCTTGATAAAGCATCTGTTTCTTGATCATTGTGATTATTTATTCATTAACTACGTGTTTCAGTGGTGTTTTAATTCGCTATATTTTTCATAACACTAAACAGCTTGATGGATAGGTCTCATAATACTTCATGCAAACCGCTCACATCTTAATATTGCAAGATAAGGTGCGATGATTTGGTAATGTACTTCGATTATTTATAATTGCATTGAGATAATCTAGAAGCAAAACAGACGATCTCATTCTTCGTTTAAATCATTAAAAACTCAAACAATATTGTAGCTCTAAACTCCAATTAAAATTACAAACAATAATTAACGTTTAAAGAAAACCGCATTTCATAATATTATCCGGTGCAATAATGCTTTACCAGCCATTACGTGGATATTTGGATCTGCAAGAAGGCGATTGCACTTATGGGCACTGTGCACAGATTCATACGGTGATTATGGTAAATAATCGCTATGTTTAAGGTTGGATTATCTTCGTTTAAATGATCCTAGATTAACTGCTTCTTCTGCAGCGCGTCAAATACACAGAGAATCCGGATATCAGTATGCGTGAATTGAATTGAACAAGAAGTTGAAATGAAATGAAGAAAAAAACACTAGAAGATTGGATTAAGTAGATGGGATTGAAATGTGAGAAAAACAAACCTCTGAATTCATCAGGAGCATCATCCAGATCCATGGCTGCTTTGTTATTCTCTACAAATATTTCTTCTACCTTGTCAGCAAATCTTTTGAATTTCTCAATTTCACTCTAGAATACGATTGACAAAATTTTCATAATCTAATTTACAATTCACATCTTAACAATGAAACACCTGAATGAAACTAAAATCCATTTGGTGCCACCGGAACTTGGGTGTTTAGGGACTTTTTCAAATAATTCTGATAGCATCTGACAAGACAAGGATTAAGTGCAGCAATGGAAAGCATCATGAAGAGTTAAAGAGCTACACACTTCAGTTCAGATCAGTTCATTTCATTACATTTTTAAAAATCCATACATACAAATCTTTTGAAATACAGCAACAGGTTACAAAAGATGAAAGAAATTACATACAATGACAGAAATAGAGAACAAGAAAAAAATATAGATGATTTTACAAAAACAAAGGAGATTTGCATGCAGGAATTTCTCAAAGGAGGAGCTCTCTCAATAGATAGACTAATCGAGGAGAAGCATCCCCTGTGGTAACAATCTATTAATTTAGTATTTACACCTTTACACATTGTGTCATTTATATCTTAAATAACCATTTTAATGATATTCACTTACTTCAGGTTTAAGGAGGGTTCTTTTTAATAAAAACAGACAATCGTCAAAAGCTTCCTTGCTGTATGACCGCTACGAAGAAAATAAAAATTTGAAATGAGAATACAGACGATAATTATGAATAAAAAGATTAAAAATGACGAAAATGCCTGATGAGAATGCTGTTAATTTGACCTCTTTTATACTATTATAGCTTTTTACAGCTTCAAATGTTTATTTTCCAATCATTACCTATCGCAAGACTTTCTCTTAAGCATTAACTATTGCTACAATGATAAAATTGAATGCAGTTCCTAGACTAGAACTTGTTCCGTCAAGTATTATTCTTTGAAGAGGCTTTGCGAGTTAGGGAAATGCGATATATCTGACCTTACCTATATTTAACATATTATATAAAGTATTCTATAGATAAAAAGTTGCCTGGTGATCGTATCAAGCATTAAACTCGGATGTCCCACCGCATTTCGATGGTCTTTAAATTTCCCATTGGTTGGACTATACAATAGACCTATTGTTACGTATTAAATCAGCAACGTAAGGCTAATTCTCATGTTTACTCTGACGGGGCACAGTGCCTTTAAAGACTCATTGCTAACAATGAGCCATTGCGCTACGCAAGCATCCCATAATGCATTTTTAGAAAGTCTGAAATAAATTTTGGTTAATCCGTAAAAGTTTACTGCCATTGTTTGGATCGTCGCCACGCTCGCAAAGGCCCATTGTTAGTCAAATATTCTGTAACTCTAATGAACTAGCTTTTGCTGATGGGAAACTACTCTTAAGTTATTTTGAAAAGAAAATAAAAGCCCAGCTTCTATTTAAATGCAGTTTCATTCGAGTTCAGTTTCAATTCGAGAAAATACGGCATGCATGAAAACTTTGTAATGGAATAAAAACTGATATGTTTCGTACGTCTAGATGAATCTAGAAACAAATTAGAGGCATAAGTCAGCGTTTAATTACCTCATCAGCAGCAACAGCATCTGCAAATTCATCTCCATCAAGATGCAGGTATATATCTGTAAGCTTGTCAAGCGTTTTCTTTGGCTCAAACCCATACTTTTCTGGATTTCGTACCTGCACATAAATATTGTTTTATACAAGATCAATTATAGTTTTATCATCCTGAACAAAACCGATATACTTACCCGATGAGCGAGTATATTTTTTCACTTAAATGTGCATAAACTTCAAACTAGCAATGCTAGTTACTTATATGCCATCTACAATGTCTAAATACAAATCAGGGCTAGAAGCGACATCCAAATTCTGTCAATATATTTGCTTCGATCTGTACTTTTCCTGAAACAGCTGAGAAAAAGAAATTTCTATGTCAGCACTTGATTCCTTTTACAGCAATTACTTCAAAGTGTACAATGTTGTCTGCATTCAGCCGGATAAAAAGGCTGCTTATACGGCGAGTTTAATAGACAATAGAAGGGAAAAACGCACCTTTAAATTCTTACACTTGGCACCGGTAAGCTGCTTCACGTTGAAATTCAGCATAACAGCCAGTCTTTCTGACAAGACCTGAACATAATCAAGCAAATTTAGATGCAGGGAACAGGACAACAAAGGGAAGAAATATTGTTTAATACTTTGACCCCTTGTTCAGGTATTCAGAACTATTTCGATTCTTCAATTCAGTACTAGGTACAAATTTGTTGGTAATCTTTAGTACGGTATAAAGAATGCATGGTATAAAGAAAACAAAATGAAACAAAAACTGGTGGTTTAAAAAACTAAACTGTTCTTTAGAAGAAATTATGAAAACATCGCTTTAGGCTGCATGCTTAAATTTGAACCGATGATGCCACTTCTTCACATTATGTACTAAAGATTACCAACAAATTTAATCCTAGTACTGAAATGAAGAATCGAAACAGTTCTTATTTCCAATGACAGTTGGAGCTTTAAAAACCTTACAAGCACTTCTTTACAAAGCAATTTCGCTTAAATAGCAGCAAGACAACTCAGCGTATGAGACGTCAAGCAAACATGAGATGTATTATATCACAGCATCTTAGTCACCTTTTCAAGAAATGGTTCCGGTATTTCTTTTGTCAGGTAGTGCAGCATTCCAAGGGTTTCTGATGCAAGAGTGAGGTATGACCTGCATTGCCGTTCATCTGTAGCCAGTTGACGTTGACGGGAGGTTCTCAATTCCTGCAGCAAATAAATGCATTATATTTCAGTCTTTAAACAAACAGACCAAATAAAAAATCTAGCGAGTAAAATGGAGTACAAATTTCTGATTACATTAGGGTAGTATCATGTCAAATCAATAAAATGAACACTTGTGGCATGTCTGTTGAATATTTTAGTGTCGCGAAAATCCTTCGAGTCGTTTAATTAATGTCAACCCAGAGAAAGAAACATCTATATATTTCTATGCACACAAGATCAACAACTCAGGCTTGTAATAAGGTTATATATCAAAAGCTTCATGGGCAAGAGTCCCAGAGTTCCTGTTATATTGTCCTAAACACATTGTGCATTGATATACATCACTTATATTTGTGTCCATTGACTAGAGGCATTTTTACAACGAAACCCATTATTTAGAACTAAGTATGCGAGAGACTGTCTTGACTACGCTGTCTACTGGCTAGAAATTAAAGGACAAGTGACACGCTTTTGGCGCCAAATTTTTTTTTTCTTTTAACTTAAAGTATAATGCTGTATGAGAGTGTTGTTGAAATATTTTTCCTTTCTGATTTCATTTTCCCACTTAAAAACCCATTTGAAATTATGGCGGGAAATGAATCACGTGACACCGTGACGTAGATTGTGATAATTTGTTATTGCTGCTACTGGTATAGAGTGCAATATTAACGTTTACAACACGCTCGTAAACGAATACAGTTCGTCTGGACCTGTCGCGTCGTGTTTCGTAAACTCTCTATCAATTACAGGAAAATTCTGAGTTATCACAATGTACGTCATAGGGTCACGTGATAAAAAGCAAAATCGCGCCTCCTGCGCCCCCTGATTAGAATTTTTTGTTCCAAACCAGGAAAAACTTACTTCTAAAAGATGATCTATAAGTTAATGAAAAGAAAAGATAGGGTGAAAAGTGTGTCACTTGTCCTTTAATCTATATTTTTGATTGCTGCATAAGATTTCTTATAATTTCAGCCAAAAGCTCAAGTTTGATTAAATGAAAAAAACCCACTCGAGACAAGGCTTCCCATTCAGCAGCATTTGCAATAAGCTCTTGATGTTCGTGGATGTTCTTCAGGGTATCCAATGATTCGTCCAGCAAGAAGGTGAGGTCGTTGATCAACATATTTATAAAACGGACAAAATTCGGTGTCCTATGGACAATTAGAGAAAATAGTAAGTGAGTTTGCCCTATTCAAATTTACTTAAGTCTCATCGAAAAGAAAGTTACAATAGCTTTACTATTAAGCAGAACAGGTTTTATGCCCATATATGAGCTCATATTTAGATTATAATCTCAAATAGTACCTGGAAAATGAAAATAAGAGAACAAGATCAAAGCTGTTAATATGATAAAAATTTTCGTATCAACACAATTACGAAAATACTATTGTTCGCATGATTTGATAACTTGAAAATGGTTTCTTGAAAAATACAAATACTACCTTAATTCGAAAATAGAAAACAGAACTACAAACTTGGCCAAAACTCGTGAACCAGAAATTTTAAAAAAATGGGAGAATGCCCGAGAAAAAATCAATCATGACAAAAGACTGACTGACGAAAGCATATTAATTGACAACAACAGATTGGATTAAGAAAAAATCTTGACTGGGGGATACAGAAGGCCTTAGATAGTGGTGGGTAAGTTCTTGAAAAGAGAAGAGAAAGAGGAGGGGAAGAGGAGGGAAGGTGGAAGGAAAGAGGAAAGAAAGGTGGAAGAAAGAGCTGGAATAATGTAAAAGATGTATGACAGAGAAAAAACGATTAATAGAGAACGGAAAAATGACATGAAACAAAAAGTTGAATAGGAATGATTCAAAGAGATACAAAAGTTGTAGAATAGAAAAGGACAGAATATTGACCAAGCCAGGAGGGAAGATTTATAAAAGAAGATAGTTTGAGGTTGGAATAATAAAGATAACTGAAGACAAGCAAAGAAATAAAATGGAAAAGATTGACAGAGTAAGATGTAAGGTCAAGAAAGGAAGGAAAGTTAAAGAAAGAAAGGAATTATAAGTCTGAGAGAAATAACAAACTGGTTAAGCAGAATAGGAGAACGCTGACAATAGGCGATTGACTAAAAGAAAACATAAATACCAAACGAGAATCACCGGTCAAGGTTAAGGAAGGAACTCAACGAGAATGACCGAAATAAGGTTAAGGAAAAAGGATGCGTGAAGGAGGATGATTGAATGCTTCAAGACGCTTGATTGTAGCAAGAAACTTGACAGAAGGCAGCTTCTTAATTAAGGAAGAAACATTGATGGGTTGTTCCGTTGAGAAGACAAATTATGAAAACTAATTATGGAAACAAAATTGATTGAGGAAGGGATAACTCTCAGGAAAAATATCCGAAAGAGGGAGAACTGATGCAGAAAATAAAAACGAAGGACACAGAACGGAAGAGAAACGGTTGACAGAAAATATGTCTCTACTGTTAGCAAAATGGCCATAAACGGTACCATCTGCGTCACATCTGAATTTGAAAACATCTGAAAAATTATCTAAATGACAAACCTGCTTTCTTGCTTGATTGAAGCCTTGTGCATTGGCCTCTTCCAAAGGCCTTTCATTATCACAGAAATATGATAGCGAATACCAAACTTGTCATAAAATTCGTTCGAAGATCCAGTTGTCTCCACGTCTGCAAGGAAAAAGCATCCGTGTTTTGTAAATGGAGCACTAAATTTCGATGAAATAAATCATAGGTTAAACTATTTGTTTTTACATAATCTAAACATGCTATACAGGTCATTAACTTGTACTAGAAGATCCTAATTTAATCTTACATCACTGCTACCATGTCAACATATATAGGCAGCTAAATAGGTGGTAATAATACTTGGCAAATGAAACAAAATAGATTAATAGATCGTAAATACTGACAGAAACGAAATGTAATTAATTCATTTTGTTTCGTCTACAAAACTATTAATTTTCTGCATAAAAATAATTTTTTAACAATATCTGTATGCTACTGAATTCTATTTCAGATAGAAGCAGTGAAAAGTGTTAACGAGAGAATATAATTCTGTAAAGAATACCATAGAAGTCATAAAGGTCGAGTAATGAAGAGAATGATATTAATTTCTTAATAAGTGATAATAAATTTGGATAAATTTGAATAAAGTTTAATTCTTTATCACACTTTACTATCTCACAAATAAAAAGCAAGGGAAAATGAAGCAAATTTGTACAGAGTACTCTTGAATGATTCAGACTAGTAAATAGTGTGTGTTGAAACAGTGAAACGATCAAGAACGTGTCAACTTATATAATGCTTAAGGAAAAGTTTATCTTCTGCATTGAAATTGCCGCCATGTGTGGTAAGTACAACGAAAGCTAAATGGATATCTTTTTAATTGTACATGCGCTATTTCATTTGTCATTAAGGGTCACTTTTTTCTTGTTTAAAACCGATCACATGTTAACAGAAAAATAAGAAGATCCATCCATAGCAATTATTTACAGAAACTTTTCAATTCTTATTTAATGTTTAAAACTGATGTTTCGACATGACTTACAAACGTAGAATTTCATTAAAGCCGGTGCCAAATGCAGCTCTCCAATTGGGTAAGAAACAATAGCATCGTAGAAGGGCTTGGCACGTGCCTGGACACTGGGGTCCACGGCAAAAATAACCTGAAAATCGCAAAAGATAAGACATTGTAAGCCAAGACAGCAGAAAGAGCAAGACACAATCAAATAACATAGATATAGCTAATCATACATTCACGTTCTTAACGTCAACTAGACTCGCCTTTTACTTGTCCCTTTTCTGTTATGTTAGCATTAAAACAATTATCGCTACATAAGAGCACAATAAAGTAAAGAGTTGTAAAAGTTCCACTAGATCAACATTTTAGAGGCCTGAAGATCTATTATCTATATCTTTCTAATAAAACTGCGTTTCTAGCAGCTTCTCAAATTATATAAAGTGCACAATACAAAATCTCACGTGTATCAGGCCTCTATACAAATCTTACATAATGTTTGCATCCAGTCTCTAATGATCAAACTAAAAGAACTAATTACACAATACTGTTATGCAATGTCTTGCAGCCATGTGCAGAGGGCAAAAGTGGCCTGTCGATAGTTCAAGGAAATTTCAAGACTTTGAATGCGACTCACTTCTATCAACTGCGCGGCTAGGTATGGGTTGGCAATATAGTTGTAATTGCATAACAACACAACGAGGAAAGGCATGAAATCTTCGATGCATGGGTCATCAAGAACCTGCGGCGCATGTCTGCAAGCAAATAAAGAATAGGTGTATGCCATGAGATTCTGTATGATTTGTTTTTTAACACAACTAGCTCAACAAACAAAAATAAATATTTTAATGCATTAAACCAAAAGAGGAGTTTTGTAATAATCAAGCCCTTTTAATCAAAAAATGTATAAAACGCTTAAAACACAACTACACGCTGTCTTATTGGTTTCAACATCTTCAAAGCAAAACACTTAGTAAAGTGACATTGAAATCAACAAACCAAGGCGATTCTCGTACAAAGAAATTGTATGCCATACATGCAAAACAGAAAAACAACAAACTAATTCGAATAGTGAGGTTTCTTTAACACAAATAGCAAATATAGGAAAAAGAATCTGTGATATCGTGAGCGTATTTGTCCAAGAATATTGCAGAGCAAAACCATCCTTAAACAAAGACAGTTTCAGGAGACCCGGTGCATTAAAATAGACTCCGTTAAGTAAAACGTTCACAGTTTGTAGAATGATTTGATTAAATCATTGCCCAATCAATAACAAGGTTTATAATGCATTCAGTGTTCGAAGAATGCCAGACAAAAGCTTAATTCCTCATTCAAAAGATGTCCGGAAATAGTAGGTTTAAAGCTTGATTGAAATGGTATCATGTCACGTGGAAAAGAACGATCTTATTTTCAATCTTGATGGTATATAACTTAATAAGCAGCCAGATGGTAATGGACTGCATCTATTGTCAAAAGGCTGCTTGAGAACGATGCTATAATGCTAGGCAAGGCCGACGAGTCATTCGTAGCAGCAAAGTGGATGTGAACAAGGTGTCCAATTGGTACAGATACAAGAGACACAAGATCCTAGAAGACAGTACAAGTTCTCCTAGAAGACAGTACACTCTAAGAAAGAGTATTCTTCACTCCCCGTCTAGCCAGCAAGACTGAAATCATCCAACCGAAACAACAGTGGCTTTTAAGAGATCAGGTGCGTATCTAGTTAACTTTGTACAGCTCGAGAGAGGTCATAGCTTATTGAACTCTTCAGTTAAAGCGAGTCGACGGTCTATACACATTATCATAGTACACAAATTCAAACAATGTATTATGTAGTCAAATAGTCTTCGTTTATTAGCAAAGCTGAATACAAAATGGAAGGTACAAAGGGTACACTTTCTAAATTCTTGTTAAAGCTATGCAACGCAAGAAACGTCTAAAATGACTTATTGTCTGTTATTTGAATATAAAAACCAGCCTATTCTTTACATAGGATTCTTAAACAATTTTAAAAACCATCAAAGTTTTAAACAAGCAATGCACTAGAGCTTTGTATATTCCAAGCCAAATGCACTTTATTGTCTAATATGCGAGAACTACATAAAGAACAACGCATGCTGCAATCCAAATACACCTGCGCCACGCAATTGCATAATTCTAATCAACTATCAAAGAAGCAAAGATAAGACTGTAAGGTTTCAAAGAAAGGGTTTGGCTGCAAACAGCAGCGTTCCTGTTGGATTTGCTAGAAACAAATTTTTCTAAAAACTATAATGAGAGAAATATAACAACTGCCGTAGTTTAGAAGAAGACAAACTGGTCATTGCTAGACACAATATTGTGATTACGAAGTGACATTTTCTATTAAAACAGACTATGATGTTAATTGGCATTTTTTAGTTGATTAACCGACAACCAAATGCACTTTTCAAGGCAACATATTCGATTAAAGCATACAAAACCCGCATAAAACGAAATATAAAGTGCAGCACACGTTATAACCATTCTAGTCAGTAACTCATGTTCACAATTTAAGGTCATTATAGGATCCAAAGTAACGCTTTACAATAACGAGGAGGGGGGGGGGGAGAGGTAGAGGGAGAGAAGGCTTGCATATCGAACTGTAAATGTTAAATGTAAATGTGTGAGTGTAATATGTTAAAAATAAAAGAGTGAAAAAGAATTATTTACATCAAGTTTTTCTTTCTCAATTCTTTTAGTGTTCATAGTCCTTTTGAAAACTTTATTTCAAAGAGAATTTGTGCAATAATTAAATTGAAATAGAGTTTAAACCCTTCTTGTAAGATGGCAGTTTTTTACTACCTTCAGACAGCAGCGAGTTAACGAATCACTCCTTTTAATTCTAGAGAGCAACCAGACTTGAATGAATGATGAAGGAGAATGCATTGGCTCACATTACTCTGTATTTTGAGTTCAAAGGCATATACCTAGCCTCTGTTATTGTTGCTTGAGATAGAATCTGGATCAGAATACATAATCTAACAGAAGCTGAACAAGAATACATAATCTAACAGAATCTGTATTAGAAGAAACAATCTAACAGGATCTGATCAGAAGACATCATATAACAGAATCTGGATCTGAACAAATAACCTAATAGATTCTAGATAAAGGTGTTTCTTCAGCACAATCCATCCACCGTTTCATAAAGCGAATCGTCCATGGTCTTCAAAAAAAGAAAAAATAAAACGTTTCGTTCATTTTTTGTGACGGAAGTTGGGCCAGATGGCAGAGCAGAATTCCGCAGACATCATTACACACATTCTTGTTATTCCTCTGCTTATTGCATCATTTGTAGGCAATACTCTCGCTATTATAGTAAAGCTGCATCGAATTAAGTCAAAGACATTTAATAGCGGTGATCTGCTTATAGTCAACCTTGCAATATGCGATATCAATAAAACCTGGGCAATGTATGTTACCTGGATTTACGCTTATGTCATCAGTGACCAATGGAAATACAGCATCCTAGCCTGCTCAATTCTTAATAAACTAGATGTCATGCTATTTTCTGTGACGTCAATAACCCTTCTCCTTCTCACAATCGAGCGTTACCTCTTGATCATGAAGCCATTCAATCGCTGGTTTTCTTTGCGTAAAACAAAAACAGTATTGGCTGCTCTTTGGATAGGAGCTTTTATAGCATGTGGAGAACCCTATTTTTTCAGTTTGGTCTTATAAAGATACAGGGTAAACCTCAGTGCTCAGTTTTGCCGCACCGGGGTATCGTCAAGGTGGTCATAGAGACATTGTTTCTGATGCTGGTTATCATTCTTCCATGTATTATCATTTTCATACTCTCTACAAAAGCATCGCGCAGATTATGCAAAAGCATGAAGTCATGCTGCTCACATGTCCAAACTTCCAGCAAGTTCAACAACAAAATGCGCAGGAACAAAAACGCAATATACATGTTGCGAAGTATCACAATCGGAAGCATTATGTGCTATATTCCATGGGTAGCTGGCTACATTGCCAGAGTTCACGACCCAGAAAAATATGTAAATCAAGTCGACCAGTCAGTCATCCAACCACTAATGGCCTGGTTTATATTCGGTGGATTTTGTAACACGCCACTTACATACCTGATTTTCAGCACAGAATTCAGAAAAGAGATTAAGGCATTAATTGAAATGCGAAGGGGTTTCCAGTCCGCATCAATGCGACGCATTTCTCCTGCTAATAACAAAACACCGAGGAATAAGGTCAAGAAAGCATAGGCTGCTAAGAAGAGACTGGAAAGACTCTGACGTAGAACTGGAAGTTACTCACATGTCAACAAACAGAAGGAACTCTGCAATATCTTCAATGAAGTAATCCGGCATTGCACCAAAATGCGTTGGAACAGTTTCGGGTAAAGGGAGCGATAGGCTACAACGAAAGAAAAAAGGCGACTTTATCTTGATGGCAACTGAGCTGCTTAGTTTTACTTTGAGTAGTTTAATTAATGGTTACATGCAGCTGTAGAATTTTGCCTAAACTTGCAAACCATAAATAAATAGCGATGTTAGCTAAGTAGCATTTAGATAATTTCTGGAAATCTATGCAAAATTTACTGCTTCAATAATATTGCTTAACACTGCCAACTGCCAAAATCTAGCCTAGGGATTGTTGCAAACAGTTTAATCGCAGTGATAAACACCAAAGTCATCTAAACTGGTCGCTTAGACTTTGCTTTCATTTGACTTTGAAATTTTCATGTCATAACATTTATACACGTAAAATGGTTCAGTACATATACCGCTTTTCAAATCGACGTGTTAGAAGCAAAATTAATAGATAATACAAAACTAAAATATATTGGTAGAAATACTTAATAACATTTTCTATTCAAAAAAAGAAAAAACGAAAAATTATCATGGCAAAGAGTCAAAAGAAAACATTATTTTTAGCTAATTGCAAAGATTTCGTCTTTCGATAGCCGTTTGAAGGCAAACGAAGGAAGGTGTCACTTCAGTTTGCCTACTAAAGCTGTTTTGAGAAGCGGCAAATGTGAAACGGTTGAGCATAATTCACGATTATTGATTTAGAACATCTTGTATATTAATTTAAAATACATTCGGGTGCAATATTGTTCGAAGATTTATAGGTTAGGGTTGCTATTTCTTCCCAACAAGAATAGATTTCTTACTATATGAATTAAAAAATATCAAATGCCACTCTTGCTCATAAACAAAAAATACCTTAAGGAAGTGGCTGAAGTCAAATTCATCAAAGCAATGGATTAAGTAAGAAATAAGATTAATTAGAAGCACTACCTCGACATTTCTTTCCCAGTCGCTAAACCAAGAAGCCACTGTGAAGCTGTGCCGTAAAACCTTAAGCATTGTCTTAGCAGATCTTCGTCCATGATGACTACTTCAGCACAAGCATCTTCTTTTACGAGTTTCTGCAATGCATAGAAAGGAGATTATAATTAGGCCCTAAAAACAAACGAGTATTTGGTAGTACACTCCATGGCTTTTTAAACTTAGAACAGAGCAAATAATTTCTTCCCACGCTATTCAGAATATAAAACGTCGAAATAGGCTAATAATCACAAAAAGAAATGAGCTACTGAGCGACCAAGTAGCTTTAAAGGTTCGAAACAATGTTACTTGCCCAAAGAAAATAGTAAGAATGGAGACCAAAGGTGAAAAAGAACTTCTATTGTCTATATAAAAGTCGATTTTCATTCTAGTTTTCAATGTATATTATTTTTAAAACTGATTGGCTGGACGATGCACGAGCTCTGCAAATTATCCGATACATGTTTCCATTACGTTTTTGGTACAATCCGGGTTTTCTGATAGATGATGTGTGATGGTAAAATCACAAGATTTCGTTGTTGTTTTGTATCTCAGATCAATGTGCATGAAAATAGAAAAACTGCTATTGTGTAGACAGAAGGAGTTCGTCATGTATGAGTGAATAAGATCTGTTAACTGCATAATAATCGTCGGCAAAGCTTTAAAAAGTGACGATCTAGCCCTTTTAACCAGATAGGAATCAGATAGGGCATGCGTGAAATCCGATAGTTGCAATGCTTCAGAAGGGAATCTTTTTATTTAAGTATACACAATATGAACACTCCTGTAAGATACATGCCTATAAAGAAATTAAAATGGTTTTGATGTTTTGATGGTTTTTAGAATTCAAAATCTTAATTTAACTTGTTATCCAGCAGTCTTAGAAACCAAACAAACAATACACTAGATAATGGTAATCGTGTGCTCAAATATGTTAAGAGTCCTAAAAACAGGACTAATTAATGATGATGACAATTCACCTTTATTTGTAACTTCCATTTCTTCAGCAATGCTCTGTTACGAGCAGCTAGTGGTGTGTTTTTCCACTCAGAGTCACGTGATTCAAGCTCGTTCACCAGTCGATTCATATCCCTCAATGCTCGTATTCGCTTGGCAAATTTTCGTATGCAAGGAATGATAGATAGGTGATGGCAATGGAAGGTGAAAAAGAAGCATTCGGTTAGAAATTTCACTTCACCCCATGCTTTGTTATCTAGAGTAAATTCAAAGTATAGAATATAATACTTGAAAGAGTATTCATATAGTTAAGTGTATTAGTGCATATTTTTCAGTTACGCTGTAACCAGTGTATTAAAACTGGAAAGCATATTTTAAAATGAAGCGACATGTTGTTAACTTCATGAAACTATAAAGTGCTGAACTGAGAGTCTCTTCGCACAAGCTGAGCCCGTTCTTGTTTTAAAGCAAGTTCAATTTTAAAGCTGTGTTTAAAGACCTAATGCACAGTAAATGTACATCAAATTGGAAGTTGTCTTGCAAAATATCAAATGATGTTCTTATTTAGTTTTAAATATAACTATATCACAATCACAGTTTTATGTTTCAATCGAAACAGATTTCTACAAAACTTTTATTGTTTTAATCAAAAGCCATTAAAAAATTATTTATTTGAAATTAGCCAGTTTTCTAGTTTAGAATAAAAAGTATGTTTTTTCATGTCTCAATTGATGTGTGTCAAGAAGCATATATATTTGTAAAAGAAAGGAAAGTATTATATTCGAAATTAGTGAATTATCATCATTGTTCTTTTTCTTTGAAGCTGGAATTCCAGGAATATCTTCAATGTATTGCACATTCTAAATGTATTTAAGAAAGAAATAGTCTTTTTACCAAAACTTTTCTTCCACTTATCAACTTCATCCTTTGTGGCTCTGATTGGAGAAGACTGTGACATGTCAAGTTTGCATTTTGGATGAAAAGGGTAAAGATGATCAACCTGCAAGACGAGAACACACCAATTTGCACGGCATTTTATCTAGCAAAAATAAGACTCCATGGTAAACCAACAAACTTTAAAGAATTGACAGTGTCACAAAATAAAAAATGTCCATAATAAGAATAATAATGATAATAAATTCCTTGATTAAGGCGTAGCTGATAGCACAAGGCTTATTAATGTCAACCATAATTTATACAACAGCATGAATAACTAAAAGGAAATGATATCATAGAGTTGATGGTAACTCTGCCCTCACCCCAGCGAACCGAGAGCCCCCGCCCTCAAAAACCACCCTCCAGAGACCAGCCAGCCCCCAAACACTACCCAGCCCGCCGAAAAGCAGCAAAGATGCCGCCGCCCCGCAGATTTCCATTTAGTGAAGATGACTTGACGATAAACAGCAGGCATCGATTTTCTGAGAATGAACAAAGAATGTTAACACTAATCGAAAAATGTGGCAATAAAGTGACGATCGAAAAAATAGAAAAATTGAACTTTTTATAGCTGAGATACTCTTATAGATGAGTATATTGCAGATAGAATATGATTTAACCAACGCAAGAAGCTTTTTATAAAAGCCATTGCTTTCCGGAAATGTAAATGTTTGCTTCACAGACTGTGGTATCCCTGAAATCATACACAAACTTTCCTCTTAGTACCTACCTTATCAAGTCTAACTTTTATACAAAGCTGCTGAAGAACTGAAAGCAGATTTATTAGAAGTCCATCCTTTGATAGCAGCTTGTCATCCGCCTAAAAGAAAATGCTCTTTATTAGTGAGATATCAAGACTAAAAAATTTGTACCAAGGTCTGCACAATTTTCTTGGATGATGCTAGAAAGTACTTTTTGACCAACTCTAGCAACATGCTAATACTTAGATATGAATAAATCTAGCAGCTAAAATGGAAATTTTGGATAGTAATTTAATGGCTTTTATCTAATACTTTGTGCTCTTGTAACTGAGCCAGCAAATAGCTTGAAGGTAATAGGCAGATATTTGATTGGTCAATGTGGATTGACAGGTGGCTTAAGCCACTCTAGAATTTGTCGACTGCCTTAATGGAAAGAATTCCTTCACCAATTAGAAATCAAATTATTCAGGGCAAAGCTTTTAGATACTTCTATCAGCCAATTTTTTCCACAAATTTTTAATCATTATTCATTCTTTCTGCTTTCTTATGTCTAAATTGGCTTCTGTAAAGATTCAAGAAGATAGTAATGCACCTTTTTTCATGATAAATTGAAATATACAACCCCCAGTGAGCAAAGGATGTCACGTCATGTCACGTCACGGTCAGATGATGACGACAGTCAGATGACAAAATGACAAATTTATGCCCAGCTTTACATATTTCTAACTCATAAAATACTTTATAAAAGAGAGGATATTTGTTGCTCACAGAAAGCTTAGCACAAATTGTCAGTGAAACAGGACTTAAACAGGTTCTGACAAAATCCAATATCTTCATTTTGCAGTAAAAGACATGGCCTAGAAGTGTAAGAGCCTTGAGGTTTATATCTCATCCACCTTCTTTACAAAACGCTACAATGCAACACCAGCCAGATGCTCAGTTTTACATTGATAGAACTTAAATTTGACTGTGCATACCTGAAGCTGCGACTTCTTGTTGTTTCTATTCAAAATGTTGGCAATATATTGCAAACAAGCCTCTCTGCTCTCTTGATTCAGCAAGTTATTGTACACGATTTTGAACAGTTCTGACTGTTTAAGGAAAGTTTGATATTTTAGAACACATGCGTTACAAAAGCTTTTTATTCAGGCTGGCAAATTTGCTAAAAAATTCCTCGTTGTACGTGGAGTGGGAGAAGGTAACATTGCTAAAAGACATGGGTTTGTCAACGAAGCTTATTTTTAAAAACTGTTACAGTTTAAGTAGAGTATTCATACACAGAATAGTGGGATTCATACAGAATTTGCGTCGAACATTCCGAACTGATCAAGTAGAAAACGTATCCAGAAGTTATCAAAAAAATACAATAAACATGTTAATAATTAAAATCTTTTAAAGAGGATAATACATTTGAAAAGACAAGGCAGGAGTTAACGGAAAAATAAAACAGTTTGAAACATGCTAAAATCACTCCTAGATAAAACCTGTAAGATTTCTCAGATAAGCTTTTAGTGCATAAGCTTGGCTGGAGAACTATCGTGTTCCAATGTGATGACCTTATAAAAATCTGACTTTGGATATTTTAAATTTGGAAATACAACCAGAAAAAACTGAATGAAATACCTCTAAAAATGCAAATAAGATTAAATATGTTACAAATTTGGTGAAATACAGGCACATTAGCACAGGCTCTTCCCCATCAAACATTTTCCAACAGTCTATTTGCAATCAGAAGGCATTGCTTTCTACGCAAAGGTTTTTAAAGGGCAGGGAAAACAAGACAGGCAATATACGCACTGTGGCGAATACACAAAGTACTCACTCGCAATAACTGCATGCCTACTCTCAGCGTTGTGTGTATTAGTCCTATATGGTCTTGTCCTGGTTTTCCATCAGCAAAATATTTATCGGCAACTTGTGACTAAAAATTTTTGGGAAAGAATTACTTTTACTGTAAAATTAATCGAAACTTGGCACGAGATTTATCTATTTAAATCGTTTTTTAACTCACTTAAATATCAGAATATGTAATAACACTCTTGAAATCCTCGTAATATTGTTTGGTCATAAATTTTGTTGTTCGATAATCTTAAGGAAAGGGCCGGTAGCCAATAACAAATTTCTAACATTAAAAAGGGAAGGGATTAAGAAGAAAAGGAGGCAAGATAAGTTTGCTAACATTAGTTTTGAGTAACGATAGGTAGCAGAAGTCTGAAAAACAGGAAGTTTGGAGAGCACTCCAAAATTCACAGGGTTAGGAGGGTAGGGGATACAGATTTCGTTAATTTTTCAAGGAGAATTGGAAAGAGTGAATAATTGAAGAGTATCTGATATTGCGAACATGTCTCAGGTGACCAGGGATCATATCTCTGTCGTCATGGAATGTTTCTGTATGCTTATCATACTTATCATATGGAATGCTTCTGTATGCCTATCATATAAAATGCTGAGTGCCCCTGCTTTAACTGATAGCAGATATCAGCTGTGTACGATTCAAAGTTATCGAGTCACGTACAGTCATCGTCGAGTACATTTCCAATTTCTTTGGATACAAATGAATTGACAAAGAAACAAAAAACAAAGAAACAAAGAAACAAAGAAACATAGAAACATAGAAACAAACAGACAGCAAAAAAATCAAGTACTTACATTATCCTCTGCAAATATAGAGAGCTGAAGGAAAGGTCCCAAATAAGAAAGACTCTCGAGTTCTTTAGCTGCTGCATTGGACATGGGTTCTGGGTTCCAGGACGGAAGTTTTGAAAGCTGCATTCAAAGTGTGCAATTACAGTTGAGGAAGTGAATGACGTAGGAAGGCAAGAGGTGATTATCAAACGCATCGGGTTTTACATGAAAAAACGCATCGTGCAATTTAATGTAAACCATTAAAAAAGAGTGAGTTTGCAGAACATTAGCATCTATCTAAACAAGTGAAATACACTATAAATTTATTCTTTACACCCTTGAGTAGGAAATATGTCCACATTTTCCTTCCAACAACAAAACCACTTTGTTATTCTGTTGATGCAATATCCTATACCCTTTTTTAAAACTTTGTAGATAGATTTAGCTTAGAAATTTTATTTTTATTGGTAGTATTGAATAGTGTCCCCAATTAGCACAGTATGTTTAATACATAGACACTGTAAAAAATTAATAACAATTGTAAACTAATAATTATAATAGTAATAATAATAATAAAGCATTAGCTGATAACATAAACAAAATCTTTTCGATGATCGATGATCGATGATTCTGTTTCAAAGATACGTTTATTTTTTCACAGCTTTTTAAAATCTTTTTCATGGAAAATCTTTTTGAAAAATGTGAACAATTTTTTTGCGGTACAGAATTTGAAAATGGCTTTGAAAAAAGCAAACATTTTACGTCATACCAAAAGCTTTTTCGTCTGACACTCCTCAGAGCATAAACCGTCCGAATAAGGTTCCGAAAGAACACGATGGAAAATATATACCCAGTTGTGAATCGAAATAGGTCAATTAGAAAAACACAAGCACAAGACCGGTATGGTTGACCAATCAGTGCCGCGAGCCTAAAGAAAAATTACCAATGGAGTCCAAAAGAGAAAACGAACTCCTTTTGTCTACACAATGGCGGCTTTTTCGTTTTTATGTAGATTGACTCCAAAACTGCTAGATGGAAGGACGACCGGGCTCTGCCAATTATCCGAAACATGTCGTCATTATAGAGTTTTGCACAATCTGGGTTGTCTAAAAGATGTTGACCGATGGCAGAATCACTTAAATCTTTTTCAAGTTCACTGAGATGCTGTTATACTACGGATCGGTTTTCTGCTTTATCAAATTCCCATGCTATGCAGTGGCTTTTCATTGCAAACATAGTACCCTGGTTTGGTAAAAAATTATTGTTTTCATTGTTTTAAGAGTGTTCACATTGATTCGCACAAAGCCGCAAGACAACGCTCATAAATTGGACAAAGTACGCCACGAATCCATACCAGCGTCATCATAAAAACTGCACAGAACCAAATTAGGCATGCAATCGAAGACTGTTTTGTTATATCACGTGTTTTGCTTGTAAACTTTGCAGTCGAATATTTTCCCAATTCAACGACAGTTCAATTTGAATTATACACGGAGAGAGATTCAGCTAACTTACCAAGGAGCAGATGGGCCTAATTGATAACGGCAACCTGATTTCTGATAGTTCTGAAAGTGCCTAGAAAAATTTTGAAACAAAAGCTGAAAATGGTGATAATCTAAAAGAAAAAAAGCAACCAAGAGTAAATACAAACCTACTAAACGTACTAGAAGAGTCTACTAATGCAGCAACCGACAAGATAAGAGACAGTTGATTAGAAAAATAAAACTAGTAAATTATAGTATATTGAGATGAATTCTGTGCAAAAAGGCACTAGGCTATTATTTTACCGACCAATAAGGGAGCCTTGTATGCCTCGTCAACCAGTGACGTGTTCTTCATTCGCTCATATAGTTCCATTAGCAGTGGTGAAAATATCTAAACGAAAAAATTCTTATTACTGAAGTGCAATCAAAAACTTGGATCATAATAGAGGCAAATAAAGTTGTTATTCAAATGACGAGAGGCAGATAACGCACAGGCAGACATTAATGTCACGGTACCAAACCAACGTATTGGTCACGGAACCAAGCTAAAATCTTATCAATGCTAGAATCAAAGAGATGACACTAGCTAGGAGCTAAGCTTTTCCTGATTTGGAATGTTTTGTAATGATTTATAATGATTTGCAATGATTTGTAATGATTTGTAATGATTTATAATGATTTATAATGATTTTTAATGATTTGTAATGATTTCTTTGTTCTAATTAGAGAAATAAGCTACAATAAAAATGATACCCTACGATCTGTTTTACATTTGGAGGCGATGACTGTTATAATTGTCTTTGTTGATCAAGAAATGCAAATCTTGATTTCACACAAGAGCGCTTTCTTTTTCAAGTAAGGGAGAGAGATGTTTATAAATGTTATACTAACTAGATGAATTCAAAAACCTTGATTGTTTCCTATACCAGCTCGATAAAAATATGAAAATTATGTGATAAAAATGAAAGGCATGTGAGAGATAAGAAAGACATACCCTATCAAGACAGCCATTTGAATGCGCCATTTGAACTAAATCGGCCAGAAAGCCACGTGGAAATGCTTCTCGTTCTTCCAACAGAAATGGCAAGAAAAGGAGAGGAGAACGGTTGCCACTTCTACGAGGAATAATCATCCTGTGAAAAAATTGCAGCTTGACAACATGACATTAAATACTATTAATGTCGGTCGCAATGAGCTTTGGTGCAAATAATTCAAATGCAAATTTCAACATCAACAACAATTCGACATTGCGGAAGTGAAATATTAACTCAGAGAGAAAATATTCTCCAATTATGTGATTTCATTTCAAAAATTATTTACGAGAAATCGTATGCGAAGGTATTAATTTACTTGTTAGTTCTAAGAATTCATTTTTTTATTTGGGTAGAAGGTATTATAGATGCGTCAAACTGAAGCTTAGAGTGAGGGGAATCGCCAGCTCTCTGCAAATCCAGGCGTAGAAATTACGAGGTTTGGTCCCATCGGATGCTAGGTAGTAACAAATATAAAAATGGAATTCCATAAAGCGTACTGGTGCCCTTTGTGTGACAAGAAAATGACAGCGAAATATCTTATAAAACTTAAATACATGGGTAAGACATGTTCACCTAAGGTTTTACATAGAAAGATTGATATTTAAACTTCTTGAAATTTGAACGAGTTCGCGGCATTTCTGCAAAATATCAAAATAATTGAGATAAACTTACTCTGAATCTTCAAAATCGCCACTAAGTACGAATAAAGCTTGTGAAATACAAGCACCACAGGCAGTTTGAAGCAACTCTTTCCATTTGGGGTCGTTTGAACGCTGAAGAATAAAACGGTTGACATTTTGGGTGTAAAGGAAAGGAAGCCCACAATACATGAATGATTATGTATCATCTACTTGCAGTTTTTAGAAGCCTTTACTGGCAATATCATTGTTGCTAGCAGTGTTTTTATACATGGAATCACCAGTTGTCAGAAATACAACCTCCCAGATGAGGGTATCATGTTATTTCATAAAAACGCAGCCATTCTTATACCTTCTAAGCCAATTTTCTTTTGATTCTTAGACAGAAACACTCACGGCACTTGCAAATCTATCTTACACACAAGGCTACATTTTAGTCCAAATACAGCGATTAAGCCATTAAAAAAAACGACAAACATAGGTAACTTACCTTTGGAAAAGACCTTTCTTCAGTTCCAACTCGATCATAACAGTTGATTATATATCGTATCTCTTTTTTCAGAAATACTTCATCGCATGTACCAGTCTCCAGCATTGAAGCAACTGATATTTTCTGTGTAACAGGTGACTTCTCAACCATATCTTCTGTCGCCAATGCCGCCATGTTGTTACGTGACGAAAGCTGGGTGAGTGACTCTGATATCAGCATTGCTGGATTCGATTCCATACCTCTGTCTGGTGACGGAATATCAGCTGGTATTTCCTTGTAGGACCCAGAAAGGTGCTGTTCCATCAAAATCTGCTGCATCACATCTTTGAAATCAAACTCTTGTGCTGGTGAATAAATATGATGTTAGTTTAAACATAACACCTTGCAAAAGTTTGAAAAAATCGTTGTTTTAAAAACTATACTTTTATCTTTTGCTTCCATGTTTCTCTGTTTTCCAAAAACATGGAAACACTTTGCAAAATGCCATTTTAATTGCTTTATTCAATTTTGAACAAAAATTCAAAAAATTACAATTAACGATAAATAAAATCCTAAAAAATACCAACAAAATTATATGCTGAGACATCTATTCAAAATAACGCAGCTTTACAAAGATTTCCCCACAACATAATCATTTATTCATCTTGCCTGCCAAAGATTGTGAAAGCATCCTTAGTTTTGCTTTCATCACTGTAAGATGGGAGGAAGAATAAAGTAGCAGAGGATAAGAGAAGGTAGCAAATGAAGGAGCATAGCGTGCACAACATTGCGATGGGCAAAATGCGATAAACTTGAAAACTGCCATGTGCAAAACGAAAGGGGATCTTTGGAAAGTGCAGTGATATTTCAAAGTCAATTTTCTAGCGATGTTATCAACAGCTCTAGCGAATTGTGGGGCTTGTCTTATGAAAGTTGCAATGAGATCAATATTCTTTGCTATCACAACATAGTAGCAATTGTGTCAAATCAGATGAAATTGGAATTCTAGAGAAGTTACAAACTATCAATCCATGTAGTTGCATTGTACTAGGGACGGGATTAGTTTCTTGGGATTAAGCCTTATTTGGGTACAGTCTTTTGGGATAAATATATTACTTGTTGTGTCTCTTGGGCTGCTTTTTAATATTCTCAGGTTGTTATTCTGTTGAGGCAATATCCTATACCATTTGTTAAAACTTTGTAGATAAATTTAGCTTAGAAATTTTATTTCTATTGGTAGCAATAAATAGTGTCCCCAATTAGCACAGTATGTTTAATACATAGACACTGTAATAAATTAGTACTAATTGTAAATTATTAATAATAATAATAGTAATAATAATAATACTAAAGCATTAGCTGATAACGTAAACAAAATCTTTTCGATGATCGATGATTCAATTTTACGATGATCCAAAGCTACTATACTTTTCAGAATCTTAAATGAATATGAGATTAGGCTTATGATTATGGGTTAATCGTGTCTATCACACATTTGCCTAGCTGAGACAAACTTTTCAAAAAACTGAATAAGTTAACATCAAATAGTGTGAGCTTACCTTTGCCATCAGGAGAATATATTTGAGGAACAATATGCAACAAGTGGCCTGGATTTAAATCAACAATTGGTGGCTGAAATATAAAACATTTAAAATCCAATTAATTCAAAATTTGACAAGTAGAAAGTTATGAGCTACAAGAAATGGGCAATTATCTTTAATATGGTTTCAGAGAGCTACAACAGGGTGTCTTAGTTTCTCAAAAATATATTCAAACTTTCTTTTTGTTTTTTAGGGAAATTGACAAAATTTAACGTTTTCAAATAAAATCCTAAAATATGGTTCAGAGACAATGAACACAGTATGCAGTGTCAGTAATGTGAGTAAAACATGATTAAAATAACTGAAACTAATGCACCAAATGATCCAAATGTAAGGGACTCATGTCAAATCATTAAAACTGCAAGATTATGTAAGAAAAAAGAAATTTAACTAAAGACACAAAGGAAAATTAGAGTTTTAAAAAAATTACCTTCAATGAGACATCAAAAATTTTACACAAGGACACAGAATAGAAATCCCACTGCATAGGAACCAAATCCTGTTAAGGAAATTAAAACACAACTTAAATGTGAGAAATGAGAAAAACAAATTTCACATTGACTTGTGTCTATCTATTGTTTGATCTCCGAATAAAATCAAAAAACTTTTCATATTCATTTACTTCATTTGAATATTTGTCTGGAAAAATTACTATTGATTTTGACAACAGAGACAACCAAATAAAAATTGAGCTTGAGATGAAATGTCTGTTTTCCTAAAAAACAAACTAGACAATAATTTCATTGAGAATATCTGGAGGACAACTTAACTGTCAATGAGGAAATGATTTGCTACTTCGTTGTAAAAAGGAAGAAACATAACTAATTATGTCCTATTATAAATTAATAGAATAAATTAATCTTAATATTATTAATTATTTTTTTTATATTTCCTTATATCTAGAAATGAATAATGTTGTAACCCTATCCAAAAATGTATAATGCCATCAATAAGCCATTAGTGATAAAAAAATTGAAAAATATACATTGCTACTTTTACAAAGTTTTGGCAATGTTACGACCTTTGGCATTGATACAAAGTCTATATACGAAGACAGAGCATTAAAATATGTGTGGTTTAACTCATTTGAAATTTTAAAAATCAATCAAAATAAAACAAAATAAACCTGTTTTAGGTGAGGAGTTGAAGATTGAAATTAAGAACCATGAAAATAAAATATACTTAAATGTAAATGGCTTTGAAAAAAGCAAACATTTAGTAAACTAAAGCTTTTCGTCTGACACTCTTCAGAGTTTAAAACATCAGAACATAGATTGAAAACTCTACGCTAAGAAATATATATACATAGTTGTGGATCGAAATAGGCCAATCAGAAACACAAGCACATGACTGTAAAGGTTGACCAATCAGTGCCGCTTGCCTATTAGAATGTTACCAGTGGAGTCCTAAGGTGAAAACAAACTCCTTTTGTCTACACAGTAGCGGTTTTTTCGTGCTTATGTAGATAGATTCTAAAACTGCTAGGTGGAACGACGATTTGGCTTTACCAATAATCCGAACCATGTCGCCATTATAGTTTTTTGCACAATCTGGGTTTTCTAGCTAATGCTCCCCGATAGCAGAATCGCAGGTTTTAGTTGTAATTTTAGATTTGCAAGACCGAGGTGGCTGTTCTCTTTGGGGATGGGTTTTGTTTCTAATATTAGATGGAACATGTTGTTTTATCCTATCCTCCAATCTTTGGGTGGTGCGTCCTATGTAGCCAGAATCACACTCACACGGACTCCACTGGTAAAATTCTAATAGGCAAGCGGCACTGATTGGTCAACCTTTACAGTTGTGTGCTTGTGTTTCTGATTGGCCTTTTTCGATCCACAACTGGGTATATATTTTTCTTAGCGTAGAGTTTTTGATCTATGTTCTGACGTTTTAAACTCTTAAGAGTGTCAGACGAAAAGCTTTAGTTTACTAAATGTTTGCTTTTTTCAAAGCCATTTACAAGTTTTGTACCACCAAAAGATTGTTTATACTTAAATGTCTTTATTGGAAAATTTCAATAAAATATTTACTTCTTTACTCATATTCTAAAGGCTTTAGATATGATAATCAAATTTCTGATACCTTTTCCAAAACTTTCTTGACAGTGTGTTGTTTTTTGAACTTTCCATCAGAGGGTGGAGTGAGCATAAATTGAGATGTTCGCTTTTCGCCCTTGTCTGGATCTGGGCTGTCAATCTCCATTGACTGTGTGGCAATTCCACTATCAGCAGATGAAAAGCTTGGTGGTGTTGTGTCATATAAGATAGCTGCTGATGAGGGGGTAGATCCACCATACGTTTTGGGGCTGTTGGCAACTCGCTTTCTAGCACTAGCAACATCAATGGTTGGCTGAGGCAATGTTGATGTACTGGGAGATGACTGTTCATCTGTTTGTGATGTTGTTGGTGATGCATTACTGTTGGTAAAACGTTCTAGACGCCTTCTTCGAACCTTGTTAAAACAAAAGGATACCTTACTTGTGTTTCAAACTGTAAAATTTACAACTCGGCGGAATTTTTTTGACTAAGGTATACAGCTCAATTTTAAAAAAATTCAAAACCTATTGAAAACACATCTATAACAACAGGAGCTAAGATGGAATACTGAAAAAACACATTTAAAATTCTTTAAAAGCCAAGTTTACAAGAAGATTAAATAAGCTAGAGCTTCAGGAAATAGCACTGAACAGCATTTGAGGCCAAATCTGGTCAAGTTGCAGATTTAGTTGCTCTTGGACTTGCAAAATAACAAATTATTAGAAAATATTTATCTGCTTTGAGTGTTTTGTAACCTTTTCCAAACAGTGAGTGTTATTATGCCTATTGATGAAATGGCTACCCACTTAACAGCAATGAACTTTGCAAATAAAAAAGTTTCTCATCATTTCTAAAACCTAAACAGGCGTAGCATCCACAATGCAGTGTGCTTTTGTAAAATCATGTATGAAATGCATGAGATTAATTGGGAAAGGATAAAATCCAAATACAAAAATTTCGAGATGATTCTCGTTGAGCATTAGCCAATAGCAACAAAATCCCAGATATTGTCATTGTTCACAAATGATCCACATGCTTCAAAGCAGAAAACAATAAGAAAAATATTTGTTTCAAAGTGGAGTATATCAAATTCATTGGATTACACTACAACACTCCACTGCAGAGTGACTCTGTAGTGATTCTTGTATCACCTCCAGAGCTAGTGATTTTCACTCCGCTTATCAGAGCATTGTGTTCCTGATTGGTGCTGTGTAGTGTAACTCAAACCCCTATCCCATGTGAAAGTTACTCTGCTCCAATAGCAATTAGGTTATTGTAACTAGCACTTAAGCCTGCTATTGACTTGGCACATAAAACAATTGTTCCTTAAATATAACAGAAACTAGAGCAGGCTCAATAGGTCCTTCAAAGACTCAAAATCATTTGCAGTTGCTTCATATTCTTAATTAATTTCTAGACTTTCCTTTTGAAGGTATCTTGTTTACTTTTGGTAGACTTTGGCAAAGTTTTTGACCAGCTTAGACTTTGGTAGACTCTTGAGTGCTATTTTTGCGCTGTGCTTGTTCTATGCTTGCTCAGTTTTTTAGGAACAATGGAAGCAGTGGAAGCAGCTACTGCAAAGTGGGAGGGTAATGAGTATGACTAGTGATACCAAGCCCTTTTGCCTTGTTTCAGTGCCTTGTAACAGGTTCTGCTTTTATCAATCAACTTTACAGTCATTTATGTTCAATTTAAACTAAAATCTATACATATTCTTATTAAGTACATCAAACAGGGCACATGACCAAATAGCTCATATGAGATTCTTTCATTTGTCCTTCAGCATAATAAAAGCTAACTGACCTTTTTGGACTTACTTATAATTCTAATTTTCGAAATTTCTAGAAACTGTATTTTATGTCAATACAATAAAACTAATATTTGTGTTTGCTGAAAAATATTTTGAGCTTGAGTTTAAATATAGGAGATGAAACATGTTAGAATAAAATAGAATAGATTCAATTGAAAAATAAGAAAAAATTGTGGTAATATTTGTGAATTACTGTATAATTATTACATGTTGATCAAGTGTTTAGCCAGTCTGGTTGAATGTGCCCAAAAATACTGACAAAAAACAAAATTCTCTAAACATCGTCATTCTCATTATCAAAACAAAGGCCACAAAAATGGCGGACAAATGACAGGGTAGAAAATGTAATCAGGTAAGATACCCAGATGCAGGCATTTGATACCCTACCCTTGGAATTTCTTTGAATGAAATCTGCTAAAAATTCACCCTTACTAGATTATGTATAGATTTTCTGTCCGTTTCATTATGTTTCCAAAATATTGGCAAAACAACACAGCATCATAGTCTCATACTGCCATACAACAATAATGGCGTCATCTAAAGATTTCATTATATTTAAAACTTGCTACCCAAATTTTCATCCTAAGCATTAACTATAGGTTTGATTAAACATAAGTGCCAACCTCTTCTTGTGACAATTCACTCATTTCTAATTCTCTATCTTTGAATGTACTTCTGTAATCGGGTAAATATCTTGACAAATCACGGCCTGATTTATAGGACAATTCACGATGAACTCGCTGCGCTTTTAAAACTGGTCGCCAGCATATCTTTACTCTTTCATAGCTACCGCGCTGTTTTAAGTCATCTTTCCTGTTTAAAAATCAAACTTGACACCGAAAAGTAATCTAACAAATGGCATAATTGAAGAACTCTGCCATTGCTCCTCTTTGATGTTGAACGCAGAAGAAAAAATTTATGTCATTATGTATATGCCTCGCTCTCACGCAGTATCTTGCTGACCACACCATTCCTGTATGTTCGATGGCCCATAACCGCCACTCACTAAAATAAACTGATTCGCATACAAACAAAACAGATTCCCATTGAAACAAACTGATTTACGCTGACAGAAAAACTACTAGCACATAATTCAAGCGAGTCGCACAGAAATAAATCTTATTCGCGAAAATTAAAGCGAGTCGCAGAAAAAAAAAATGATTCGCAAAAAATTCAAGCGAGTTGCGCAAAAAGAAAACTGATACTTAAGGCGGCACTGATTTGAATTCTTGAAAATAAATTTAAAATCATTATATTATCGCAAAGTCTGCTCAATTTTGGTGGCCTGTGTTCCAGACCTGTACTTTCAAATTTTTGAGGAATATCGGAGGATTTTCAGCCATGGTCAAACGGTCCAACATTTCATCCAACATTTCACCAAACATTTTCAAGCGCAGATCGAAAAGCGACTAGGTAAAAGTTCGCGCTGAAGGATGCACAGTTTCGCGACATTTCGATCCGAAAAAACGAAAGGCAATCACTGCCTTCTCTTTTTGCTCTTCAGATATGTTCACTGTTACCGCAGTCTTTCAGGGCAAGCGTCGCATCCCCTAGAAAGGCCCTGACATAAATTCGTCCCCCTGCACTTTCATAAATGTTTATAAATGACTTATGGTCTGTTAAGGGGGGCCAAAAGCCTCGTTTTCACGAGAAAATTGCGTAATCTTAAAATTTAGGCATCTAAAAAATTTAATTCACCTTTTGTTGAGACTAATTTTTGAATTGTCGTCTGAAGGAACTATGCAGCGCTATTAATTACTAACTGATAAATGACATCATAAAGAACAACCGGATCATCTAAACGAAATTTTATCGTTTCAAAGTTCCTCAAGATCGTCTTCTGAGTCACTGCACACGACACTCTTAGCGTAAAGCTCTTTTTCACTCTGCCAATAGAATACTCATTCACCCCAACCATGATCTATCTTCTAGAAGCCCAACTGAAACATCAAACCACCCTAAAAATCATAGAGATTTAGTTTACATGCAAAATATAAAGCCTTTTTTCTTCACATGGCGGCATGGAATTGACAAACACATTTCAAAAATACTGAAACTGGATATCATTAAGGTGTCATCGAGTCCTTGGAGCTCTCCTGTTGTCCTTGTGAGAAAGAAGGATGGTTCTAGAAGATTCTATGTGGACTATCGTAAATTGAATGCGGTAACTAAGAAGGACAGTTATCCTTTACCAAGGATATAGGATGCCCTCGGTGCTTTGTCTGGCTCCAAGATTTTTACAACCCTTGACTTATTATCGGGTTACTTTCAAGTTTCAATGCACCCGGACTCTGTGGAGAAGACGGCCTTTATTTCTCATACTGGCCTATATGAGTACAATTTGATGAGTTTTGGTTTGACAAATGCTCCTTCTACATTTCAGCGTTTGAGGTTAAAAGTGGTTCATGGCCTTGAGTGGAAGATTTGCTTGATCTATATCGATGACATAATCGTCTTCTCTTCCTCTTTCGATGAGCACATTAATCGCTTGCATCTTGTTTTTGATCGCTTGCGACAAGGCAATTTGAAACTGAAATCAGGCAAGTGCCACTTTGCAAATTCCTCAGTACATTTTCCTGGATTTTTCTTCTCTTCATCCGCCATTGCTCCAGATCCTGATAAGATTTCTGCTGTGCAAACCTTTCCCGTACCTACCAGTGTTACAGAAGTTCGTGGTTTCTTGGGGCTTTGCAACTATTACCGACGGTTTGTTAAAGGATTTTCAATAATTGCCTCGCCTCTGCACAGGTTAACAAGAAAGGATGTTTCTGTAATGATCTATTGCCATTGTCCTATTTGTATGTGTCAACAACCCATTACGTCATTAACGTCATTACATGCTACATTAACCAGGGATATATCAGTAAGGGTTAGAGTACTGGAATGGGTTGACGAGCAGAATCTGAGTTACAAAGTACAAGTGTCTTGATCATTCTATGTCTCTCTCTGCTCGGACCCACAAAGGTAAATTGGTGACAAAGGGACAGAGCTGAGCACTCGATATAACTGATCATGACACCTCGTCAGCTGTGCCTGAGACGTTTGATTCCAGTGATATCGTATCCTGGCTTCGCCAATTTGAGTGTTGTGCCGCGGCAAACTCTTGGAATGACACAAAGAAATTTGCTGTTTTCCCGGCATTTCTACGGGGCCCGGCTGCAACATACTACCATTCCTTGGCTGCTGATCAGAAGGACTCGTATGCCAACCTTACGAAGCATCTACGAGAGGCTTTATGTCCCGCCGTGGATCGTTAGCACTATTTTGCTGATTTGGAGCAGCGTGTTTTACGCCCTCAGGAGGACCCTTCACTTTTTCTGTAGGAGCTGAAGGACATTCTCTCAAAAGCCAACCCAGATTTACAAAATGAAGCAAGAGAGGCCCTTCTCTCTCGACAGTTTATGCGCGGTTTACCTTCACATATACTTCTAGAAAACAACCCCACCCCAACCTTGGACAACGCTTCCGTGCTGTTCATCGCCATGACGACGATTCTTCGTTCGTGCAGGCCAAGCAAACCTCAACGCTGGTCAGCCCTTCCGCCGAGGACCCCTTGGCCACATCCATTGCCCAACTGACAGCGGCTGTGGCCGCCCTTGCGTTCAACCAGAAGGACTTGCATGCCGCTCTTGTCCCTCCATCTGGCGCTGGTCGCCCACGCAATCAACAAGAGTCTTTCAATATTCGCCGAGGAGGAGGATGGGGAAGATCAAGAAATCAGAGTCAACAGCGTTGTTTTAACTGCAACATGATTGGTCACTTTGCAAGAGACTGTCCTTGAGACTCTCAATGCCATCTATGCATAGGATGGGGCCATAGTTCACAAAAATGTGCAAATAATGTAAACCAACGCGGAAGTCAGTCAGGTACGCGTCCTTTAAACTTCATAGGGGTGCCTCAATAGGTAGCTGGGTTAAAGGTCACCCCCTGGGTGGGGTCAAAGTCCAAGCATTAGTCGATACAGGTTCTATGAAGTCTTTCATTTCTCGCAAAGTTTTTGACCAGCTTAGGCCAAAACAAGTTTTACAAGTCACTCAGCAGCGATGTTATGGTATCACTGGTCAGCCCCTCTCTGTCCAAGGGACAGTGCAAGCTCCTCTTTCTTTTCCTGAAAGTGGTTCGTTTTCGTACCCAGGTAACTTTTCAGTGTCTGACCATCTTTTACAACCTTTGCAATGTATTTTAGGTTGGGATTTCTTAACTTCTAATAACCTAAATCTTTCCTATAAAGGTCCGGGGGGCTACTTTCTTGTTGGTGCTCATGGGGACACCCCCCTCCACCCCAATAGCCCTGATATACCTGTTTGTTCTCATGAAGGCCAGCCTTTAGATGACCATACTCGCGATAAACATAGTTCTTGCCTATTAATGCAGTCTTGTTACAGAGAGCCTGTCCCTATTATCTTAAGCAAAAGTATTTGTATTCTAGGACGTACTGAAGTCATAGTAGACGCACAGTTACCTAAGAGTTGCTCAGATCAGAGTAGGCATGATCACACCAGTCTCAGATAATGAAGCCTTTCCTAGTAATATCTTTCCAGCTTATTCAGTCAGCCAGGCCAAAAGTAGACATATTCCAGTACATTGATGAATACTGCCAGCTTTGATACAGAGTTACAGTTTAGCGAAACGAGAATTGAGCATTGTCGTGTGCGATTTGTTCACTAATAAAACCATCCATCGACTATCGTGTCATTTCCAACCCAGCGAGCCTTATTTTACGTGCAGAGAACACGGAGCCAGAGAGAGAAACAGTGTGTTGCTTGATTGTAACTGAACTCTGAACTGAACTTACTTACAAATTAACATACTTATATACAGAAATGAATATCTAAAATTCATACGAACGATGTGAGAAAAACAAAGGATAGGAAGGGCGAGTAAAGGTGATGAGTAAATTGAATAGCGTGGCAAAGATTGACAAACAATAGGGATTAGCGAATGCGTGATATGAGAGTGACGTAGAGGATGCCTGTGCTGCGATGTGAGAATGTGGGAATGTGATGGAATAAATTAGAAGAAAAAAACCGATGTAAACAGGCCTACGCAGAGTCACTTCACCAGTTAGGCCAGAATGTGGGTGAATTCTGCCCACTTGTTGCATCTCCAGTTTCCCGAGAGGATATTACATCATGCACAGTGACCACTAATCCCATTTCTTCCACTTGCAGTACTATTCAACACGAGTTGGAAAAGTCTCTCAGTCCCTCTCTACTCCCTCATGAATGTAAAGCTTTATTGCAAACTTGGTTACAATATTCTGACGTTTTTGATAACACCTTAGGTCATACAGATGTCATTACCCATAAAATTGAAACAGGTAGTGCTGCCCCTATCAGGCAGTATCCTAGGCGCTTACCATATGCTTATCGACAAGAAACTAGCAAACAGATTTGTGATATGCTGCAGCAAAAAGTAATTCAACCTAGTAATTCACCATAGGCCACTCCTATTGTTTTGGTCAAAAAGAAAGATGGCTCTTTCCGATTTTGTGTAGACTATTGTAGGCTTAATGCAGCTACTTGGAAAGATGCCCATCCCTTGCCCCGAGTAGATGATCTTTTAGACTCTCTTCAAGGTGCTTCCCTTTTCTGCACTTTGGATCTTAGATCAGGTTACTGGCAAATCAGTCTGGAACCCAAATACAGGGAAAAGACTGCATTCATAACTTCAGATGGTTTGTGGGAGTTTGTTCGTATGCCCTTTGGAGTTTCAAATGATTGTGCAACCATCCAGAGGGCCATAGAAATTGTTCTTTCTGGTTTAACTTATGAGACCTGTCTATGTTATTTTGATGATCTTATCATCCCATGTTCCTCCATTACCCAGCAATGTGAGCGCCTCATTCTAGTTTTAGAGCGATCTCGACGACACAACTTACGTGTTAAGGCCTCTAAGTGTACTTTCGGAGCAAGCAGTG